CATGCTCATAGTCTAAAATCTAATTTTTTTTTAGTGACTAATACTAAAATCTTAGATATTTAAAACATTACCTGGATAAACTGGAGAGGGATATAGATAGCTAGGCCCAGAGGTTAACTTCCTGCCTGGTGGTCTCACTGAGTTCAGGAGACGGAGTTTGGAGCTCACAGAAGCAGGATGACTGGAATTTGCAGAGTGGAGCATGCCCGGTGAGGAAGCGGGCAGGATCCGTGCGCCCATCTCTGAAGGGTTGCGTGAGTCTTGGCTCAATACAGTGCACATCTCAGCTGGAGCCCCTGAGCCTGGATGAAGAACAGCTGTGGGGACAGTATAGCTCCCAGCATTCATTCAGGTTCATGTCTTCTAGGATGGAGAGACCTCTGTAAAGTGTGGGTCATTCAGTAGAAGCAGCCAACAAAAAATTATTAGATATGCAAATAAAACAAAAAAGGCAAAACAGTGCAATTTATGGCTAGGAAAAAACTCAGGCACAAACACAAATACGACAGATGCTACGTTGGCAGGTAAGGACATAAGGTTATTATGAATAACTCCCTGTTTAAAGGCTTAAAGAAAATGGTGACATGATGAGAGGATAAATGGAATCCAAATAGTACTTCTAAAGAAGGAAAAAAAGTGGCATTTAAGCTGAAGTTTTCTGAATGGGGTTCACAGCAGTTAAGGCCCCATAAGAGAAAAAAAAGAATCCGTGAACTTGAAGACAGACTGACAAGAACATCCAAGTGAAATACAGACAGGAGGGGTGGGTGTGGGCGTCTCCTGTGGAACAATAATGAACGATCTCAAAATCAGTGTAGTTTGCATTCCCTGAAAAAATATTTAATGGAATTGTGTCCAGATTTTTTTCCAAATTTAATGAAAAATATAAAACCATAGATTCAAGAATTTCAGTAAACCTTAAGCTAAAGCCAAATAGACACAAAGAAAATGACAGGGAGGCCCGCGGTAATCACCACCGAGGAAGAGAAAGGCTTAAAGGCACCAGCGGTGGTGAGCTTGTGTCTGTGTGTACATCACCCACACCACACACCAGGAAGACGGAGACAGTTATGAGCTTTCTGTCAAATACTTTAAATGAAAAAACTGTCAAGGTATATCCAGTGAAACTTTTGTCAGAAATGAAATCAAAATAAAGAACTTTTCTAGGGGAAAAAAAAAATGGAAGTATTTGTTGTCAGCTGACTAGCAGAGATACATCAGAGTCTCCAAACAAGAGGAGACAGGATCTTAACAAACGAGTAAGGAGTATCAAAACTGGCCTATGTTTAGATTAATATGAAATACACTTCTCATTTTGAAAATTAAAGAGATAATTGTTCAAAGCAAAAATAAAGGGACCTTGCAGTGTTTATAACAGAAGTAAAATATAACAAGCACAGAGAATAAGTAGGGGCAATAGAAATATTCCTTTCTCACATTGTTGGTAAAGTGTCATATTAGAAGGTAGACCGCTATGTTAAATGCATATTATAAACCCCGTAGAACTACCAAAACACTGAAGGGAGACGTCAGCTGTGGAGATTAGATGGAATGTCAGGAAAGAGGGAGAAGGGGACAAACCAAAAGAAGGCAGGAAAAGAGGAAAGAAGACTAAAGATCAAATGAGCCAAATGCAAAACAAGTAAACATCTAGCAAGACGATAGCTTCTGATCAACCACATCAATGATTATATTAAATATAAATGGTCTAAATACCCGAGTTAAAGGATGAAGATTATCACATTAGATTTTAAAAGCAAGAATTACTCTATTTTAAAAATGAAGACATAGATAATCTAGGAGTAGATAAAGATATACTATGTACACACTAATCAGAAGAAAGCTGAGTGACCGTATGATCAGAATTTAGAATAAGGGATGTTACTGGAGATAAATAGATGTTTCATGATGAGGGAATCACTTTGTCAGGAAGACATTTGGTCCTAAATGCAAGTGTACTTCAAAACAGCTTCCAAATAAATGAAGCAGAAACCAAGAACTGAAAGGAGAGGGAGACATTCATAATTAAATGGATTTCAAAGCTGGGTGTGGTGGGTCACTCCCGTAATCCCAGGTACTCAGGAGGCTGAGGCAGGAAGACCTCAAATTCAAGATCAGCCTGGGCAATTTATAAGACCTTATCTTTTTTTTTTTTTTTTGAAGGGCTGGGGATGTAACACAGTGGTGCAATGATTGGCCAGCATGTTTGAGACCCTGGATCCAATTCCCCATACTGCAAAAAGAGGAGAGGGAGGGAGGGAGGAGAGAAAAGAAAGATAATTGGGATTTTAACACGCTTGTCTTAGCAACTGGTGAAACAATCGATTGTGGAATAAAGTAGACTTGTTGCTACTAAGCAGGTTTGCACTGGCTGGGACTGGGGGCACAGATGAACTTTTTGGAGTGATGAAAATGTCCTCTGTCTAGGTCACATTGGTAATTACATGGCTGAAGACATTGCTTCAAACTCAGTGAACTGAGCATATAAAATGGGTATTTTTTTATTTGTCAGTTTTACCTCAGAGGTGCTTAGAAAAACTTAAGACCGGTGTAGTTTGCTCTGTGAGCATACCTTAATTTTAAAATCTACTTTTAAAAATGTATTATGTGGATCCCTGTTAAGTTTCCCAGCATCCTATTAAATGACATCTCCAAGTTTCTCTGTTTCTGCCTGCCTGTCTTCCTCTCTCTCTCTCTCTCTCTCTCTCTCACACACACACACACACACACACACACACACATACGAAAAGTACTTACTAGTATCCATTTGCTTTCTCGCAGTGAGTGCTTCTTCCATTTCCATGTGGCCATTTCGCCGCAAGAATTCCTCCCTATTGCTAAAGGCTTCCAGTTACAATTATAGGTAGAAAACAAACTGCAGTCTTGGGGTTTTATTCCTTTAGTTTATTTTGGGGCTCTGCAGATAGCATTTCCCCACAAGCTTAGCTTCTTCCACAAATGACGGGGATGGACGTTGGAACTGGGTCGTTCCTTTGTTCTCAGGTAGGCTCACGTCTGCCACCGGGCTTTGAGGTCATTAGCTCGTCCCTCCTGAGTCAGAGTCTCCTCCTGCCTTTTCATAGTTTTGTAAATAAATAGAGAAGCAGAATATGAGCACTCTTTTTCCTGGTATTGGAGTTTGAGCAGGGGTGCTTAGCCACAGAGTTACACCCCTAGCTCTTTAAATTAATCAATTAATCATCGTTATTATTATTTTTTTTGACAAGGACTCAGTTGCCCAGGATGGCCTTGAACTTGTGATTCTCTTCCCTCAGTCTCCCACGTAACTGGGTTACAGGCCTGTGCTCCCAAGTTTTTTTCCCTTCCCTTAATCCAAGTAGAATGTGCCCACGGTCCAGCCTGCAGCAGTCCCAGGAGCTGGCAGTGAGGTCCCGCGGTTTGCTGTACCCCTCCGCAGGCGAGTCCGTCTCTCTCCCCACAGGGAGCAACTTTCAACTCCTGCAGGTGCTGATTCCTGCTTGTTTGGGTCCTAGTTTTAGATGGTCTGCTTACCTTTTGATTCTTTTTAATTAAGATGCCTGTGAAGTCCTGGATGTCATTTTTTCTTCACCAGCCTTCCCTTTTGTGTATCCCTTTCTCCCCCCCTCCGCTCTCCCTGTCCTCCCCCCTGCTCTCCTCTCCCCCCCCTCCCCCTGCTCTCCCCCCCTTCTGCTCTCCTCCCCCACTCTCCACCCCTCCTCCCAGGACACTTCTTGATTCAGTGTTCGCTGTGTGCCTGGTTTGGGGACACGTGCAGGCTCAGATAGCGCGGTGCCATGCTGTTTCTGTTTGGGGAGCCCTGCCAGTTTGTTTCATCCAAGGGGCTTTTTTCCTGGGTTTTGCCTTTTTCTTAGAAACTGTCCTGTCACATCTTGTCATCAGTGTTGTCCGCATGTGACGGAGTACAGGTAGATGGGGAGCCCCAACAGGTGGCGCGGTCACAGGCCTGGGCTTGCACAGCGTGGGAGGATCTGGTCCCAGCCTCCTGCCTGGAGGGGAGGGGCCGCCAGCGGTGTGCGTTTTTTTGCGGGAAGGACATGTTCTGGTGTACAGCTTGCAGGGTGTCCCTCACCCCCTGGCTTAGGCGGGGCAGCTTCCCCTTCACTGTGCCAGTTCAGCTCCAGTTTACGTTTTCCAGAAAACAGACTGGGGACAGCCCCGGCTGCTGGTGTGTCGGTGGCTCTCCCAGGTAGTGGTGCTCCTAACGGCCTGACTTCAGCTTCCAGAATCCTGTCACCATTGTCTCACTGGCTGCTGTCCATTGTGGGTTTGTCTTTTTTTTTTTTTTGAATTGTGGTAAAACCTACAAAATTTAGAGTCTACCATTTTAACCATCTTTGCAGGTACAGGTGAGTGGCCGTGAGCGCAGCCAGGCTGTGTGGGGGTCTCGGGCAGTTCTAGACCAGATGCACCTGTGATTGATGGCTGTGCGCTTGGGGGAGCACGAGGAGAGAACGGGGTGGCCCGTGTCGTCCTGGAGCAGGGCCAGGCAGGGTCTCTTGGATCCCGGAGGGAGGCGGCTCCCCCCTTAGTGGGAGAGCAGGGATTTGGCTGGCGTGCGTGTCCTTTTAGGAAAGGCTCCGTTGGAACTTGAGGCCTGGCATTCCATGCTCCTGGAGATCTGCCTGCCCACCGTGTCCTCCAGCGTCTGTTATTCCTCCCACTGCCCACTCGCTGTTCCTGGCACAGGATGACTCCGCAGCCTTTGCCTGCTGAGTGTTCCTGAGTGAAGTGAACACCCCCCCACCTCTGTCTCTGCCTCCGTCCTCACCGTCCTCATCCGTGGCTCCCAGCCAAGTCACTGCCTCCCACCCCAGACCTGGGCTCGGTCCTCCTGTTTTCCTCCTGGAACCTTGAACACATCTCTGAGCTATCACCCCGCCTTCCCACACAGCCTGGCTCTCTGCAGTGTCTGTGCCTGGCACGCCGGCCGCAGGTAGATGTCCTGGTGGATGCCCAGAGCCAGAGATTTCAAGAGAGCTCTTTATCCTTTTTTGTAGGACATCCGACATGAAGCCAGTGACTTCCCCTGTAGAGTGGCGAAGCTTCCTAAGAACAAAAACCGAAACAGGTACCGAGATGTCAGTCCCTGTAAGTATCCACCTGCAGGCCGCTTGCCCCTCCTCCTGCAGGGCCTGTGGGTCAGCTCGCCGTTTGCCCCAAAGCTTGCAATAAATCGATTGTAGTCAGAGGTTTATGACTTGATTGTTTGCTGTAACAGGGACATTGGAGACTTATAGTAATGGCTCATTTTTCCAGCATTGTAGGGGGAAGGTTTCAGTTTCTGGAAAATTCAGCAAACAGTTCAAAGCCCTTTTTTTTAGCTTGACTGTTTTGTGATGAATCATTTTCCTATCAGCTGAAGCAGAGTGGAGCAGCCCTAATGGAACCTTTCTGGGTGACTCAGCAGCAGTATTATTAGCCCAGCCTCATGTTGAACCACAGGGGTGCCCCACACAGGCAGTCGGGTGGGGGCTGCAGATCCACCTCTAATTGTGCATCGCACCCCTCCAGCCCCGCCACGTCTCTGCCAGCACTACTGCTCCCTCGTACAGTGTGGGTGCGCCTGCTGGCCTCAGCACCCTCCTGCCTTCTGAGCGACTGGCACCCAGGTTGCCAATATCTTGAAAATAAATAACTGAACTTGTTAGAATTTGTGTAAAACAAGGGAAAGCAGAGCTGATTTCAAGACCTGGGCCTAGAGGAGACAGTCAAGCTAAAAAAAAGTGCTTTGAACTGTTTGCTGACCTCGGCAGCCATCACCCTCACGGGGTCTGCAGACCCTGGAGGGGACTCAGAAGGGTGATGGCTGCTGAGGTCTCGACAGTGCTCCGGTCTGGGACCTAGAATTGGTGAGGAGCATGTGCCTCTTGGCCGGTCCCCGGCTGGCTTTGCATCTCACTCTGCCCCTGAGGACTGTGTGGCTCCGGCAGCTGGCTTTCTTCTCTGACTGCCAATAAGACAGGGTCACCCTTACCTGTGGGAGTGTGTGACGATGGAATGAAACACATCAGCCGCTTAGCACAGGGCCTGCTCAGGCGTAGAAAGCACTTAGTGAATATCCGCCGAAGCGGAGACCGCTGCCACCAGGACATCTGAAGTGCAGTCCTGGGTCCTCAGGTGCCACGGTGGTGCCCAAGCACCCGATGCTCTTGTTTTAGCATGTCTAGACTGAGGCACTGCGTAAGTATTTATTTAAAAAAAAAATGAATAAGAACAAAAAAACCTTGTTGGTGCCGCTGTGAAGCCCTGCTCAGAAACTTCTGGAGAGCTGATTTGAGTGGACGGCACAGTCAGGGTTTACCTCTTTCCTATGGTGCCAGGTTACCCTGGGTCACTAGCTTTTGCCGTACTTGCTCTGAACCAGGGAGCGATGTTGTCTGCGATATTCAGTGGCTACACTTTTACCTCTTATCTAAATGGTTTAAGAACCAGTTTTCCAATATTTAACATATTCTTCCTGGGAGGTAATTCCTGAACTTTTTCACCCAACCTCATTCCTCCTGTCCTCCTTTTCCTCCCCCACCTCACCTTCCAGTAGAAAAAGTAATTTGCTGTTCACATTAGGGGGAAAGGGGGCATGAGTCCAGGTGGAAGGGGACCTGCCACCTGACACAAGACGCTGATGGTGACAAGAGCACTCTTCTGCACCAGCAGCTGAGCTCAGCTCTGCACTCACATGCTCTGGTCACCTCTTCCCAAAGTACTCTTGTTAGTCTTGCACTTGGCAAGTGAAAACACAAGGCCCAGGGGACGAATTGTCACCCAGGGCCACCTGGTGTTGTCTGAGTCCACCAGTCCAGCAGTGCCAGTCACGCGATTGCTTTGGAGATCTTTTATTTCCATGATCCACTTAGAATTACCCAAGTGTCTCCGTTTGTACCAGCCCTCGCCCTCGTGGTCCAGCGATGGCCAGTGCTCAGGTCCCCTCTCTTTGGAGCCCTTCTCAGAACAAAAGCCACAAGCCACTCACCCTCCCTGTAATTCTGCGTCTCCTGTTGGCCTCAGAGAGAAGGTGCTATTTAGGGGTGGTCACCTGGGTTCACTGTCCCTTATGCTGTGCCAGCAATGCAAGTACCCACCTGCTCCCGTGGACCATCATGATAAGGAGAGTGGCCCTCAGGGTGGCGCTGTTCTTGTGACAATCATGATGAAAGAAAGTGGCGTTGGTTTCCAATAACCTGGGGTAGAAATTCCAAATGAGTTTATTTTTAAAAACTAATCTAAAAGTTACATTTCTATATTGGTAGTGTTTTGGGTTTGGAGTTTTTTTCCCAGCCAAATTCTCTTTTTAAAGTCTTTGATGATGACATTTGAAAGGCCCGAATTATTTAAGCTAATCATACTTGAACTTTAAAAAAAAAACCAAAAACTTACATAAAAGAATCCCAGGTATGCCTCCATGGCGCTGGGTGACGGGCCATCGAGTCTCATGCCTGTGGACACAGTTGGGTGGAGGCGCGGTCACAGCCTTCCTGCTGCTGTCGCTCACTGTGCCAGCGACAGCTGGGAGGGCTGCGTGGGATTTTTTGGTAAATTTTGTTCCCTTTCTAAGATTAAAGCCACGTGGGGCTGTGGCTGGGGCTGGGGTAGAGCACTGGTCTGGCACGTGGGAGGCCCTGGGTTTGATCTTCAGCACCACAGAAAAGAAATAAATAAAGCAAAGGCATCGTGTCCATCTATTTAAAAAAAAAAAAAAGATTAAAGCTCTGTGTTTTTTACCCTGTAAAAGTTTGTTAAGCATTAGATAATGGCTCCTTTGATGGCCCAGTGTGGCCCTCCAAGTTCGGGGAGTGTGATGTCACAGGAGGGAGGACTAGAGCAGACCCTGGGTTGGGGCCTGTGCAGGGCCTCGTGTGGCCCGTCATTGCCTCCCTCGGAGCTGCAGACGCTCAGAGAGGCCTTTTGCAGATGCCAGTCGCCCACACAGACGGCAGGCAGCGCCCCGCCAGCCCTGGGCTCCCCTCTGTTGCTGTGGGGTGCACGGCTGTATGGACGTCTCACCCCCAGATGGACCTGGGTTCTGTTTGCCTTTCAGTTGACCACAGTCGGATCAAGCTGCACCAGGAGGAGAACGACTACATCAATGCTAGTTTGATAAAAATGGAGGAGGCCCAGAGGAGTTACATTCTCACCCAGGTAAACAGATTGTCTGGAATTTTTTTTAACCTTAACTTAAAAGAGTTTAAACTGTGCCTAAACAAAGCTGCCATGTTGTTTAGAAGTTCAGGTGTTTAATAAACCAACGAGCAAAAAAGGAAAAACACCCTCCTTTGAAGATTCAGCCTGTTGTGACCCTGCTCTGTTCCGGAAGGTACAGAAGGGCGGGAAGGAAGCACAGAGAAGCGGCTGTAGGTTGGCAGCAGCCTGGGGACGGGCGATGGCGCACGGCCTGGAAGGGCCTGTACTGTGCTGATTCTCGAGGGGCTCACCTCAGCGCCAAGCACCTCTGGAAGAGTGTGGCAGGAGGCTAGTCACCTCTGTCCCAAGAGCCATGCGGAACTCTTCACCACGGCCCCCTCTTTTGGCCCCAAGAAAAGTGTCATTAGAGAACAGGACAGGCGTGAATAGGCACTTACAGCTCCCACCAGCTTTGGGCATCTTCATGGGGAGAAGAGCGCGCGGTGGTTTAATGATGAACCGAGCCTCTCGTAAACCTTGATGGTTTGTGACCCCAAGACCACAAGTGTCTAGACTGGGTAAAGCCGACTCTTTATTCTTACTAATTAATCAACTAGTTAAATTATTCGTTGTTCTCCATCTTGCCCTGTTACCTGAGGCTGGCTTAAAGAGTCTGAAGTTCCCCATTGGTTTTTCTCCATGATGGTCACTTTCTCGCTTGTCGGGCTTCTGTGGGATGATGGCGCACCGTCTGCTTGCTGTGTAAACATGGAAGTTCTGGCAAAGCCGGAAGCCTTGGGAACAAAGGCTGCTTTGGACAGGGACCTGGGCCAGGGCGTATGTGTCACTGGCCCTTCTCGCTCCCTTCTTGTCCCACCAGTTCCTCCCCACCCGTGACCCATGCCTCCCAGTCAGCGTGGGGTCCTTCAGCTTGGCCAGAGCGGCTGCAGGGCGTGGAGTGAGTTCCTGGCTTGTGCACCAGCCTCCCCCAGGCCCCAGCCCCTGCTCCTCCCATACCTCTGGGTGTCGGGCTGGGCTTCTGGGAACAGGGCCCTGGGAGGTGGGGCCTCCTGCTGTGGGCCAGGGTTGAGGCCCAGGACTTCTCCAGGGTTTCTCCTGTGAGAGGTCACCTTGCTGAGGTCAGGAAGCACTTTAGTCCCCCCATTCTAGGGTGTGTAGGGTCAGCTTGAGCATTGAAGGGTTTCCCGTGCTGTCCCCCCACCCCCTGCCCTCGCAGTTGTTGGAACCCGTGACATTCCGCCAGTCCTGTTGGTGGGCCCACTGATGTCGGTGAGCTGCTCACGCGTCCCCTTGCCCTGGGGTTTTCAGAAGGAATCAAAACAGCCTCCCGCACAGTGGCCCTCTCAGTCGGTGTGGCTGGGACCTTCTCCGAGCCAGACTCAGGGCATGAGAGGCCCAGTGGCCAGCCAGGGACTGGGTGACATGTGCTGTGCTTGCAGGAGCTGCGTTTGTTAGCTGGGAGGGTGGCCTGTGTGAAGGCCTGTGCTGGCCTGAGCTGAGCTGGGGAAGCAGGGAGCTTGCTGAGGGCAGGCCGCTGCAGGAGGCCGGGCGGGCGGAGGAGTCGGGCAGCTGCGGGAACTCCAGCGGGCGGGCAGAGCACTCTTGGAGAGGCGGTGCTGCCCCAGGGAGCGGCTCACCCTGGTGGGTGGCGCTGGTGACATTCCTCCCAGGCAGTGCTGCATCCTGGAACACTGGTGCCAACTGTGTGGCAGGCTGCAGCAGATAGGCCAGCTGCTCCACAGGCGTCCCCGTGCCCACCCTGCATGACCATCTGGGTGTCCACATTCCTGTGTTCCTTGGTCCAGAAATGAAGGCCGAGTGTGGTCAGGTCTGGGTTGATGCTAAGAGTGGGGGCTTCCCTCTGCTGGGTGCCCCCGATCGTGGGCTCAGTCCTTGGCGGCTGTGGACACGCCCCGGGACGAGGAGCTGTTTACACTCAAGGGAGATAGAGGGGGACGGAGGCACCTGCCTGAGGTCACAAGGTGATAAATGATTGGAAGAGTCACAGTTGGTCACACTTTTGCTGCCTCTCACTGCCTCGAGAGTTTTGTCCCACATCCCATCTGCCCTTGGCGAGGAGCCCAGGAGCCCCTCAGCCAGCCCAAGCCAGGAAGCACGTGGGCAACCTGCGTTGGGGTGCGCCACTGTGCGGTTGACACAGGACTGTGACAGCTGCCCACCAGGCTAGGAGGGCAGTCCTGTTCCTGCCTTAGCCGCCATTCTGCCTGGGCTGGGAGACCTGAGGGTACCCCCGACTGATGACTGTCACAGGTAAGCCCATGCTGTGGTGTCCCCGCGTCACCGTGTCTGCTCTTGTGTGCTTGCAGGGTCCTTTGCCTAATACGTGTGGGCACTTCTGGGAGATGGTGTGGGAACAGAAGAGCAGGGGTGTGGTCATGCTCAACCGCGTAATGGAGAAGGGCTCGGTAAGTCGCACGCTGCTTCCTCTTGATGTCACGGTCCATTGGTCCTGATTTATTTTTATTTTAAATCACGTTTGTAGTTCCTTTGCATAGCATATTTGTCATTTTAAAACGTCATAGAAGCGATATGTAAGGACCCGTTTGTTGTAAGCAGTTCCCTGAACGGAAGGGGAGAGGAGCCAGCCTGCCGTGGCCTGGCCCCCGCTGGTGGGCTGCCCGCTCCATGCGGGGCTCCTGGTCCCCTGCTGTGGAGCCGGGTGAGTGCTGCCGTTCTTGACAAGCAGCTTTCGGTGCATGTTCATGGAGCCTGCCTCCCGGCTGGTCAGAGAGCCTCCTGTGGACATGCAGAGGTGGCTGCGGAGCCCTGGAGGCCGCTGGCCTGGGGGTTAGATTTGTTGCCCAGAAACGCCCAGAGGCCCAGCAGGGAGCCGCCCGCTACACCGGTGTCCGCTGGTGTGTCCACGTGACACTCTGCCATCGTGGGTTCTGTGCCACTGTTAAAGCCCTGTCCCTCCCACGTCTGCCCTCAGCCACCCCTGCTTCAGCTTGCTGCCTCAGTCCGTTCTGAACCATGCTTCCAGAATGTCCTTCCTCACTCGGGCTCACCACCCCTTTTCCCAGCTGAAACCCCTGTTTCTCCTGGCTCACGGGAGGACACATGGAGGCTTACAGAGCCCTGCACTCAGGCCTGCTTACCTCACTGTCCCCTCTCCAGCCTCCTGCCAGGACAGATTTTCTTTCAGTTTCTTTACTGTGTTCTTTGATCCAAGGGTCTGAATCACAGCGCCCACCCTCATCCCATGTCCAGGTACCCTCAGGTTGCTGCCCCCAGGTCACCTGGTAACTGTGCTGTTCTTCATCCTTCTCTCTGCTGTAATTTCCCCTCAAAAGTCTCTGTTGTAGGAGTGGCTTCGTAGGCAGGGCCAAGACTGGCATTCAGCAGGGCCACAGGCTCCTTGCTCCCCACGCCCGCCCCTCCCTGGCTCTGCTAGCTCTTCTGGGGCTTCCCAGCTTCAGAGTCAAGTTGAGGCCCTTGGAGAAGATGAGCTGAGGATCGTGGGGATGTGCAGCCTGGGACCAGAGAACTGGGTATCCCTGGGCCTTGCCTGGCTTGGCACTGTGCTCCTGGGGGTCAGCTGGGTGCTCTCATAGCTGTCCTGGCCGCCTTGGACAGAGAAGCCACCCTGCAAAGAAAGCACAGTCACGTTCCAAAGAGTAAAAATTCAGTGCACAGAAGACGCGCACCAGAGAGTGGGTGGGCAGCATGTGCCTGGCACCAGCCACAGCGCCACCGTCTCCTGCTGAGGAAGCAGCCCGGAGCTCCTGAGAGACAGGCCCTGGGCTGGAGTCGCTGCGGCCTCGCCTGAGTTCACTGCGACCCCCTTGTGAATCACGCAGGCTCGGTGTCTGCGCAGTGACAGAGGCGGCCAGCCCGCGGGTTCAGACCATCCTGCGCCTCTCCCCGTAGGATTGCTTTTTCGGTGAAAGTGGCTTTTCACTCTTCCCTTTCTGCTTCTGTGGCCTGATTACTACAGGTAAGGTTCCAGCCCTGTCCTCCCGCATTCCTGTCGGCAGTGCCGGACACCAAGCTCTAGGTTCCCAGGGCGCGCTCTGCTGGGGAGCCGCCAGTGATGGAACCCAGAGCTTTGGAACCTCTCAGCACAAGTGACCTTGGGCTGGCCATTCTCTGCTGGAATGAACTGACCTGTGTGTTTTAGGATGATCAGCAGCTTCTCTGGCCCCGCCCACTAGGTGCCACTAGCATCCATCTCCCAAATGTGGCACTCAGGCTCGGCTGTTCGGGGGGCTAGAACTGCTCTGAGTGATATCGGGGGTTGGGATTTTTAAGTCAAGATATTTATTCAAAAAACATCAGATTTTCCTTTCATTGATTGATTTGATTGTTGCTTTCATTTCCAGGAAAACCTCTTTGCTATTAGTTCACAGTTTGCTTTAGCAACTGTTGTCATATTACAACAATAGTTACATGCTCGTCACCGGGCCCTGTTGTCTCCTACCCAGCAATGACCATAAATAGGCCACAGATCACTGTGACAGTCGTTCCCCCTTGAGATATAGCAATATTGGCCCTCAAACCCGTGGCTGGTGGCCTGAGGTGGTTCACTGTGAACAGGTAGCAGCGCTCCTTCTGGTCTGCTGTAAGTGTCCAGGTCCCGGCTGGTTATTCAGGCATGCAGATTGGCACAAAAACCGCTGCATGTTTCTTGGGGATCAACATCTTCAGTTCTGCATCAACAGGATCACTCCAAAAGGGTTGGCTGGGGTGGGGGCTTGCCGAGAAGCCGCTGGGTCTGGATGGCTCTCACCTGGCTGTCCCCGTCCACACTGCCCGTGCTGTGACCCGCTTACAGAGAGTTTCCATCTGCTTTCTGCTTTCCTTCTTTCACCAAATAGCCCAGGAAGTTCCCCTCTTACTGTTGGCAGACCTGACTGTGACCTCCTGGGACCTGGCATTCCTGGAAGCCAGTTTTGCAGAAGATAATTGTGTGTGTTGGACGGGGGTCACGCACATGGCCAAAGTGCTTGTTGGTTCAATTTTAAAATTGACTTTAGACACGTCAACATGGAGCAAGCCTGTGTGAGGGCTGGCTTGTTGCTCAGCCAGAGGAAGTGAGCTCCATGAGTCTCTCTCGCCCTTCTGGAACTTGGCCTGTGTCTCTCCCAAACCCTGTGGAGCCACAGTTAGGCTCCGGGCTTCTAAGCCCACGAACCTGCATCTTGTCATGCCCGTGCACCTCCTGCTCTGTGCACCAGCTCTCTATTCATAATCGGGAAAACCACGTCACTCATCTCAGGGTCCAAGACTGGCTCCTAGAGGTGGTTCCTACGATGGCTTGGCCACTTGTTTAGGATGGCCTGAGGACCCTCACTAACACCTGCCTTCATGGTGGAAATGGCAGCTATTCGCAATGCCACCACTTTCCTGTCTGGTGCCAACCAAGATAAGCCTCAGTTTGGTTTGGTTTAATTTGGTACCATGGATTGAACCCAGGGACGCTTAACCACTGAGCTACATCCCAGCCCTTTTTTTATATTTTATTTAGAGACAAAGTCTTGCTGAATTGCTTAGAGCCTTGCTAAGTTGCTGAGGCTGGCTTTGAACTTGCGATCCTCCTGAACTGCTGGGATTACAGGTGTGTGCTACCGTGCCCAGCTAGGCCTCAGTTTTGAGTCCCCAGTGATGAACTATTTTCTCAAAAGTCAGTCTCCTATTCAAGTTGGTGTGTGTCAGTGTAATAGGATATCTGCAATAGTGATCGGGTGCTTATTTTGTGTGTTTAAAACAAAAACTTCTATAGAAAATAACAGAGATGTTCCTGTAGAAGCCTAAAGAGTTCTTAAAATTAAATATTGGTTGATGGGTGCTTGGTCATGTGCCAGAAATCCTCTGTAATCTTAGTTTTTGCCCAGATTATAAAGATTTATTAGCTTTATTTTTAGTTCTGAAAGTGAGTGCTTGCCAAATGGAAATGAGGTGGAAAACTTGTCTGCCCAGCTGATGAGCTGAGGGTCAGTGGGCGCTCGCTGCCCTTTGCTTCCTCCTCTCCCTGCTCGTGGTGGTGGGAGCCCACTCCGGCACAGGTGGCCTTGAACCACCAGGTCAGACTGTTCCTGGGGTCCAGCTGTCAGAGTGTGGGAGGGAACATGTCCTGGCCAGGCCTTCGGAGGTCTTGCTCCCCGCGCCTCTGGCCCTCGGCTCCACGGGGCTCTTGCCTCCTGGCCCGTGCCCATGTCCCGTGTGGCAGAATTGCCTTGGTGCTGACACCCAGCTCCATCCAGGGTCTCGTCCCATCTCCAGCAGCTCATCACTGGTGACTGGTGACGTGGGTGAGACTGGCCCAAGCTTTACAATGGGCTCTGGAAAAAGCCCTGTTGGTGACAGTCTCATGGGTGTCTCTTGCCTTTGCTTTGGTCTTGTTTGTGGGCTGCTCCCAGCCTCAGCGGAGCAGGACCGTCGATGACGTCCCTCTTCCTTCCTCGGGAGCCGCTGGCCCTTTGCTACCCCAGGGGAGGCTGTGGTTTTCTTGACCTGATGTCAGCACCAGCTGGGCTCTGGTCCCCCATTGCCCTTCTCTTGCTGCTCCCCTAGCCTGCATCTCTGAGGTCACTGCCCAGAGAGTGCTGGTCACCCTCCGAACCTTCCTCTTCCAGAGCTGCCTCTGTGCTCTTCCTTAGCCGGCCTGAAACCTCTCCCTCCTCTGAGTGCCAGGACACAGTCACAGCGCTCTGCCCTCAGCCCTTCCCACTGTGCACCTTGTCACTGCTGGAGAGTGGTCTCTCCCAGCAGACAAGGCCAGCCCCGAGTCGGCTCCTGTGCTCCCGTCATCCTTGGCCTCAGAGGAGCATCCAGTGGGACCAGTGTGCATCCCGAGCGTGACTGGCACTCGCTGGTGTTGTGTTGGGAATTGCAAGGTCTCCCAGGGTCCCTTGGCAGGTTGTCAGACTTTCTGCTGGGCCCACGCCCAGCCCTGCCCAACTGCTGTCCAGGGCACCCCAGCCACCCACCAGCAGAGACGTCCTGACTAACTGACATAGGACTTGTCCCAGCAAAGTGTCCACTAAATTTGAATTAAATTTTCTTACTTAAACTTTTGACACCAAACTGGCAAGAACGCGTTCACTCCCACACTTCTGACAGCTGGACCCCAGGAAAGTCTGACCTGGTGGTGCAAGGCCACCTGTGCCGGAGTGGGCTCCCACCACCACCACGAGCAGGGAGAAGAGGAAGTAAAGGGCAGCGGAGGGCCACTGACCCTCAGCTCATCCAGTAGTTTCTGAAATTATCAAAATAGAACTCAAGAAGTGTTTTTTGGACTGAACCAAACCAAAGCAGAACGAAAGGTGAGCCGAGCCCACCCTCCAGCCCTCTCTGGGTCGGTGCATCCTGTGTGGCTCAGCCTTCCCAGGGCCTGTTCGCATCCCTCGGGGCTCATTTGCAGTTCCTGTGAGGTTTCCTTTGGGGTGAGGCATCTACCAGCAGCTGGGCCAGGTTTGGCTGCATACAGGCCCTTGCAGGAGGCAGAGCAGCTGGTGGGCAAGGGTCAGACCCCTGAGCACCCCCTTGCTACAGAGACCCAGAGCTGCTGGGTGGCGAGGCTGAGCCCCGTCCGCATGGCCACCCCATCACTCTCCAGTGCCCCTCCAATCCCAAGAAGCAGGCTGCTACGCTGACCATGTCTTCCAGGCTCAGAAAATTCTAGGCCTTTACATTGTCATAAAGCTCAGAAATGGTCTCCAAGCCTCTTGTCTTGGGAAAACAGTTGGTTGCTCACAATAATTCAGTGTTATTTCCTCCCATAGTTAAAATGTGCACAGTATTGGCCGCAAAAAGAAGAAAAGGAGATGATCTTTGATGACACAAATTTGAAATTGACGCTGATCTCTGAAGACATCAAGTCCTACTACACAGTGCGACAGTTGGAGCTGGAGAACCTTGCGGTAAGACCACCTGCACTCGGGCACCTCGGATACTTGCTGGTTGGGCTGCTTCTCCCTGACCCAACGAAGCGTTTCCCTGTGTCTGAACCCTGCGCCGCACATGGTCTCGGGGTGAGCAGAGCTCGTTGTGCAACTACCAAGTGCCAGGGGCGCCCAGGAGGGTGGGAGTCAGGTGCTTTCCCTCCACACCAGTGAACTCCGGTTCTTAGGGAAGAGACAGGTTTCTCATCTACAAGTGATCTGTCCCTGCCTGGGCCACCTGAAAGCTAAATGCCACAGTGTGCCGCTGCCTCTGTGGTCTGCGGCCTCCAAGGAGTCTCCCGGGCTTGCTCCGGTCTCTCGGCCAGTGCAGGTCTCCTGGGCAAGGCCTGGGGTGTGTCTGCTCTGTGAAGAGTCATAACACAGCTGCTTGCTGTCACTAAAAGATTGTCTTGGAACGTGGCAGGACACTGCTACTGCTAAGAAGTACCACAGAGGGCTCTGCCCGTGAGCAATCTGAATCATGACCTGGAGGGGTCCAGTGCTGGCACGGTGGGAGGGGCTCCAGGCAGAGCGGGGACAACACTGAACATGGTGGCCACCACCGCCTCTAGAGCCAAACTGCCCGTGTTTGAGTCCCAGCCCTGCCATTTCAGACTGTGACTCTGGGGGCAGGGGTTGTACCACCCCGTGTCCGTGCCTCCTGTCCTGTCAGACTGGGCTCTGGAGGGCCCTGGGAGGTAGGAATGGGAGGGAGGGTCAGCAGGTGATGCGGGCGCAGGCCCGTGGTCCCATGGCGCTATCCAGGCCAGTCCAGTTAGTGTGAGGGAAGGTGGGGCCACGGGAGCCTGGGGAGCGGCCCTGCTCCTGGTGATGGTGCTCACGTGCTGCGGCACAGCCCTGTGGTCTGTTACTGCATCAATAGTTGAAGTAAGATCTGGAGCGAGTGCCGGTGGCTGGGAAGTGAAGAGGTTGGAGCAGTGTGGCTTCCGGACGCCGCTGCACAGCTGCCCGCACTTGTTGCCCTCTCTGCCATGTGCACCAGGGAGGAGCCGTGTCACTTCCTTGCGGTGGCGTGTGCTTGTTCGCGAAGTAGTCCACCTTTCCAGTCCTTTTCCTGTGTGTCAGCCTGAGGTGGTTGAGGGGAGTAGCTCAGAATTCTGAAGTCACAGGGTGCACAGCTGTGACCTGGGTTTTGTGTGAGGACCTGTCCACTCCCGCCCACTGTGTTATTCAGGAGCCCTGAGAAGCCAGACGGGCATACCTGCAGTCCCAGCGGCTCAGGAGGCTGAGGCAGGACCGTCATAAGTATGAGGCCAGGCTTGGCAACTTAGTGAGACCTTGTCCCAAAATAAAAAATTAAAAGGGCTGGGGTGGGGCTCAGGGGTCGAATGCTTATTTAGCGTGTGCACAGCCCTGGGTCCCCTCCCCACTGTAGCAAAAAGTAAAAAAATAAAATAAAAAGCCCTTTCTTAGCACTGGATGACCAATGGGGCCCCGACGGAGAATGGAGTCCCTGCAGCACAGCAGCGGGTGGAGGAAGGCCCCTGGGGGGCCCACACCTCTTTAGGGACTAAGGGGAGCCTGGCTTGGGCGTGCTTTCTTCTTCATTTTTAAAGTATATTTAAAGTGCTTTTCTCATCTGCCAAAATACTCCTGTTCTAGTTACATGGAGATGCTCTTCACGGGAGTAGAGTAGACGGGCTCCGTGTGGCTCTCATGTGTGAAGGTGTCTCTGCAGGAGACACCATGGACCTGGCAGCTAGATGCCAGCCCCATGGCTTCCTGTGGCACAGTCACAGTTGGGCATCTCTGTGAGAGCAGCCGGGTCTTGGGCCCATCGTGCCTGCACGGGGCTGGCCCGTGGCGCATACTGTGCACCCTTTGGTGGTTACTGGAAGGCTGGGAGAGGGGGAGCACTTTGGGACAAGGACCCGGGTTCCTGCAGCAGCTCTGAGCAGGGCCTCTCACCTCAGAGCCTGAGCCGCCCACTCTGGAAACTGGGAAGAGTGGGAGCATCTCTTGAGCTGGGTGCTGGGCTCCACACGGCCACGATTCCCCTGTAAAACGACCATCCCTTGACACACCCAGAAGCCTCGAGGCTCGGGTGGCCCAGCCTGGTGCCCACACATGTAGTTACTTCTTCACCCTCTGCAGGAAGCACAAAAGCGTTCTGATGAAGTCACTGCGGGTGGCAGAGCAGTGCCGCGTCACTGTGGCTGGCGAGGCCAGAGAAGGTGGCTGTATCCACATAGGCAGGGGAGGCAGGGCCTTGGGGGAAGCAGGTGGGGCTGAGCCATCCCGGAGGCGGCCCGCAGGTCTATGTCCGGGGCCTGGTGGCCCAGGGCTCTGCGCTTCGTCAGCAGGGCGGGAGGCTGCGGAGGGCTTGGTGGGTTTCTCCACACTCTTCTCACTGCCATGTGTCTTTTTATCTTTCAGAATCAAGAGACTCGGGAGATCTTACATTTCCACTACACCACGTGGCCTGACTTCGGAGTCCCCGAATCACCAGCCTCCTTCCTGAACTTCCTTTTCAAAGTTCGTGAGTCGGGCTCGCTCAGCCCGGAGCACGGCCCCATCGTGGTGCACTGCAGCGCCGGCATCGGCAGGTCGGGGACCTTCTGCCTGGCCGACACCTGCCTCCTGCTGGTGAGAAGGTCTTGGAAGGCGCCCTCGCCGCCCCAGCCCACCCCGCCCCAGCCCGGCCACAGCTCCTGGCCACAGCTCTCGGCCACTGTCTGCGAGGGCCGCTTGGCTTTGTAACACCCCTGGGGTGGCTTTATCCCTCAGGGCTCTGTTCGCAGAGGGTTCCCATCTCACCGTGGGCCCAGGTAGAGCCGGAGCACCCTTCCCCCTCGTTCTCTCCCCCCTCAGCCCCCGTCCACAGGGCCCAGATTTCCCACATTTTTCCATGTTTTCTGGAACTCTCTGCCTGCCCCACGGCGATCTCCCCGGGGCAAACCAGAGCACTCCCACCCAGGGGAGTGGGGCTGGCTGAATCCTGTGTCCTCTCTGTCAGATGGACAAAAGGAAAGACCCTTCTTCTGTGGACATCAAGAAAGTGCTGCTGGAAATGAGGAAGTTCCGGATGGGGCTGATCCAGACGGCCGACCAGCTGCGCTTCTCCTACCTGGCCGTGATCGAAGGTGCCAAGTTCATCATGGGAGACTCTTCAGTGCAGGTCGGCTGCGCTTTAGTGTTTGTCTCTGTGCGCGTGCGTGGGCAGTGCTGTGGCGGAACCAGGCCCTGTGCACGCAGGCCAGTGTCCCACCACTGAGCTGCGCCCCCCCGCTCTGGTTGTCAAGTGCGAACACTGGCAGGTGTCAGAGGAAATAGCTGCCCTTTGTGTTTAAAATAGCTAGAAAGTTGTTGAAGTTTTGCCGAGTTCCAATCTCTGCCTTTGAGGTGCTCCCCCAGAGAGCCAGGGCAGGAAGAACGGGCTGGATTTTCAAACGGTTTCACCTTCCAAGGGCCTGGCTGCGGACCAGGGAGCCCGAGCCCCATGCCCGAGCCCCATGCCTGAGCCCCATGCCCAAGCCCCGTGCCAGGCCAGCGCCTCTGCGCACTACGGCGGGCGGGCTTCCTGACACAGCAGCAGAGCGAGCGCTGACGGGCCTTCCTCCTGCTGCTCTTTGAAGGACCAGTGGAAGGAGCTGTCCCATGAGGACCTGGAGCCCCCACCTGAGCACGTGCCCCCACCTCCCCGGCCGCCCAAGCGAATCCTGGAGCCCCACAACGGGAAACGCAAGGAGTTCTTCTCGAACCACCAGTGGGTGAAGGACGAAGCTGAAGAGGATGAAGACGGCCCCAACGAGGAGGAGACCAGGACCCCCTTGAGGGCCTCCCACAGCATGGACAGGTAATGTGAGAGGCTGGCTTGGGCAGCAGCGGGCCCTGCCGTTCCTGGGACAGGCACGTAATGAAACCTGTGGCTGCGCTTCCTCTCGGCAGTGGGGCTGCTGGACCTGCAAGCTGCCCTCTCCTGGATGGAGGAGGCCTCTCTGGGCCCGGAACGGCCCTGGGAACAGGCAGGTCCACAGGGTTCTGGCACCACCTGGTGGTACTCACTGGCAGCTGGCTCAGTGGAATGAGTAGGGAGGGCCTTTCTGCCCTGTGAGGACAGTGTCCACCCCATGTCCACCTCCAGGCTTCTGGCAGGTCCTGAAAGGCGATGTCCAGCTTGGTGTCCCCAGGGTGGAGCTCCAGGGAACTTGATCTTTTGGTGGCATCTCGGCTCAATTCATTGAAATTCACTGGAGCGTTTTGCTTCCTACGTCGACCCCAGCATCGTGAGCACTGTTGACGTGGTGGCCGACTGAGCCAAAGCCAGACGGTGGCCCCTGGGCTGCATTGCAGGCCATCTTGTTGGAAAGGAAAACCCAGGGAAGCTGGGGTGCCAGGGAAGCTGCCTAGGAGCTGGCACTGCCCTGCAGGAAGCTGCACAGTTTTGAGCGGGAGTAGCCCCCTCCTGGGACACTGGTGGCAGTGCCCAGGTGCCTGCTTCCTGGAGGGAGATACTAAGATGTGTGGCTACTTTAACCAGCAGTGGCGCGTCTAGAAAGGTGCCCTGCAGCAGTGTCCAAGTGTGCGGACAGGTGAGGTCATTGGGTACATCGCATCATTTGTGGCAGTAGAATTGGAGATGGCCACAACCTGTTTGGGGATTAGGGCTATCATGCTCCTTCGCTGTGCAGGGGTGGGGGTGGGTATTCTGCAGCTGTTGAGGAAGGAGCTCTGGGTGCCCTGATGTGGCCAGGCACAGAAGTTCCAGTGCCTGAGAAAGCAGGGTGCACACGCAGCAGGCATAACCACCCCGCCCCACCCTATGGGACTTCCCTGACGCAGGCGCTGTCTGAGGCACTTGGGTGGGAGGGACAGGGGGCTTCAGGCCAATGCCTGCTCTAACTTGGCCCTCCAGCCAAGTGGCAGGAATCTGGTTTGGGTTCTGAAGAGGGAGCTTGTTTCTGTCTAAAATCTCTCCATAACATAGTGTCCAGCCACCCGTTCCCTGGAGGCAAATAACCACTCATGTCCCTCCTGCTCCTCAGCACGAGTCAAGACACTGAAGTCAGAAGTCGGATCCGTGGCCGAGGCCTGAGGGGCACCCAGGCAGCCTTCCCTGCTGAGGCAGAGCCGGCACCACCCAGGAAGGAGGAGGAAGCGCCGGCGCCCACACTGACCCACTGGAAGCCCTTCCTGGTCAACATGTGCATGGCCACGGTCCTCACGGCCGGCGCGTACCTCTGCTACAGGGTATGTTTTCATTGATGGAGGTGCTGGCGAGAAGCGCGTGGCGGGAAGCACTGGCCACCAGCCCAGTGTGGGATTTGGTTCTGTGGAGCGTCTGAGCCAGTCTCAGAAGAAGCAGATGAGGGTTGGTTCAGGCTGGAACTGCCAAGGGCTGAGGAGAAGAGGGAAGGGTTGTGCACTGGGGTCTTCAGGAGCCCTGTGGTCCCAAGGACATAGTCTAATCTCAGGGCCTCAACTATTCAGGAGTAAGTAGAGAAAATGCCAAATACGTCTTTCTCTCTCTCTTTCTCTGTCTTTATTTTTATTTTATTTTATTTTATTTTATTTTTTTTGGTTCATTTATCTTTGAAAAAAATAGAATTACAACACATTGTTGTTTTTAACCTTTATAAAAAGCAGCTTTTGGTTATTTCTGGAAGAAAGAAGACTAGGCACTTACAAAACTTCCTCATACCCTTGGGTGGTATAATCAGATTCACAATTTATATTTGGTTTCCCAGGGAAAAAAATCCCAAACTTTTACGAATGTAGATGCCCTTGGAGGAGAGGGCCGGGCGCTGTGGTGTGGGCGCTCTGGGCCGCCAGCACCCGCCAGCGCCCGCCAGCCTCCGCCAGCCTCCCTGTGTTGAGAGGAGACAACATAAGGCCGTCTCCAGAAAGCAAGCCCGCTTCTGCTCTTGCTCAGGGTGACCCTGCTGGTTTTCCGCGGCTCGTTTCCCCATTGCTCCTCTGTGTGGCCGTCATCTGGCTAACTTGCTGGCCCTCGTCACCCCGTCCCTGTACATGAGTTTCCTGCAGCCTCTGCCTTGGGTCGGCCGCACGGCAGGGTGACTGCTGGCACTTCAGCCCTGGCTCCCGCTCACGTGGGAGGAGGTGCTACGGGGCCCGCCCTGATCAGAGGGGGGTGCAGAGACCCTGGAAACTGCCCCACGTGACCTTCTTATCCTTTTAAATATTTTACCTGTTTCCAGGTGACCGTCTTTGAGTGCATGTTGCATTAGCAAAATACAAATATCTTTTCCTTGGGGGTGATTTGTGGGAAGGCCCTGTCATTAAAAACAAAAGCCCCAGGCTCCCTTGAATCATGGTGCCCTCTGAGGTGGGGTGCGGGGGGCGTGCACGGGTCAGACAGCTGTGGCTGTGCCCGGGGCTCCTCTGCCTGTTTGGCTTCATTCCAGTTCCTGTTCAGCAGCAGTGCATGGCCCGACCTCCCTGGGCCTCCTCCACCCATTGTCCGCCTCTGCTCTCAGCCCCCCCACCCCGACTGTAGGCGCCTGGTGGGTGAGGGCCGCTGGCAGCGTGGAGCACATGCAGAGGGCGCTGTTCTGTTGGAGAGCCCGGGCCGTGCCTCGCCCTGCGCCCTGCGCCCTGCACCCTGCTCCTCTTCCTTCTTTTCCTGCCCTCCTTCCTGTGAGTACCACATCCCAACCCACTTCTAAAGAGAGCAAAGCAGGGGACCGTGCTGGTGGCAGGGAAGGGTGGTGGCCTGTGCCCGTCTCTGGCTCGCCCCACCCGAGCGCTCCCTCTTGGTGCACCCCAGGCCAGCGACATGCACCATCCTCCCCAGAAGCCTCCACGCAGCCCTGTGGAGTAGCCTCTCCGCTCCATATTTATTTTAATTTTTCCAAAGGCATCCATACTGCACTAGCATTTTCTTAAACCAATAATGTATTAAAACTTTTGATGTCAGCCTTGCATCGAGGGCTTTATCAAAAAGTACAATAATAAATCAATCCTCAGGTAGTACTGGGAGCACGAGACTCTGCCCTGAGCCTGCCGCCTCAGACCAGTGCTGGCGGGAGGACTGTGTGAGCAGCGGCGTGCAGTGACTGGGTCACGTGAGGGGGGAGCGCTGGCGTGGTAGAGGCTGAGCACTTGGTATTTAGTAAGAGTCACAGTGGGAGATGACCTAGTCCCCGTGCTTCTCCTCCCCGTTACCTGGTAGGACCTTGTTCTCGGTCACCACTTTCCCTGTGTGTATTAGAGTGCATGTAAGGGCTTCCGTGTCCCATGAAATGCCGCGGGCTGGGAACAGAACCTTAGCCTCCTGCCTCCTGACGTGCCGTCCGCTGCAGTCTTGACCTGACCATTGCGTGGCTGTGGCTCCTAAGGCTGGTGCTGAAGGAGCCGCCTTTAGCAAGACAGCGATGATGTTCCGATGGTGTTCCCAGGAGCCGATGTGGGCCTAATTCCTGGCATGACTCTCTGATGACTTCCTGGTGAGGCCCGGCCTGTCCTGGTCCTGCTGGGCCCACTGTAACTCAGACATTCCAAGGCTATGGCCAGCCCTGTTCACACCTCACGCTCTGGACGTTTAGGCAGCAGGGCCCCGACCGTGGGGTGAGCAGACCGTGACTGGAAGCAAGGCAGCCGCGGGAGCGCCCTCCTTGGAGCAGCCCAGCGACAGCCCTTGGAGCCAGCTGCCTGCTGCATCTCCGTCCTAGGGGACCCTGCTGAAGGGGGCGTCTGCCCCCGCCCCGCCCCCCCGAGCCCCTTGGGACTGATGGTGCTCATGACTCTTCCTGCAACGGGGACTGAGACCTCCACATTTGGTGGCTTTTTTAATAAGAAAAAAGGCAGCTGTGGCTGTGGCTGTGTCGCCAGCATTTTCACGTTTTGCCTTTCACGGGGGAGAAGCCGGCGCAGAGGGATCCTGAGGGACACTCAGGCGCGGCTGCAGAGCCTTGTGGGGCGTGGGTGAGGCCGAGGGCCAGGCCGCGCGTTCTCGGCTGGGCTTGTCGCAGTCCGTGTCTGTGTGTAGCTGGGTGTGTATGTATAGGAGCCGTTGCCGACGGTGGACTGGCTGGCCTCTGTCCGCGAGGACAGCTGGCCTCCGTCTGTTAGCGTAGGTTAGGGAGGTAGTGAGCTGCTCTGCTATTTGCCTTAAGCCAACATTGACTCATCAGGCCGTTATTTTTGACAATGGCTGTGGAATAAACCATTTTTACAAAACTAAAAACAAAACAAAAAAAAGCGAGGTGTTTGGTTACAATACCTTTTCAGGTGTGTATACGTGGCTGCATGACCGGGTGGGGGGAGGGCGTGTCTCAGGGTCTTCTGTGACCTCACAGAACTGTTAAACTGTACAGTTTTCCAACTTGCCATATAAACGATGGGTTTGCATTTTAGTTGCAATAATAAAACCTTTTTCTAAAGAACTTGGATTTGGTGCCTCCCATTTCTTTGCTTAATGCACCTGAACCAGGGCTGCCGCTGTTTCTTTCCATTCCCACTGGTGCGAAGCAGATATGGTCCCCTGGGTGGGTGAGGCTCGCCTGGGGTGGCCAGCCCCGGTGCTGGGTGGGGAGTAGCTCCGCTTGCTGATGAGCCTGGTCGCCGCTGCCACGAGCCCCTTCCTGTTTCTTTAGAAACCCGCCCTTTGGACACACAGGGCCTGGGAACTGCCCTGAAACTGTCCCCTTAGCCAACTGCCTGTCACACACAGTGGCTCCTATGTCTCTGTAGGTGTGTGAAGTCACATTTGATACAGAACTGACTTGGAAAGAAAATGGTGTCTGAGATCAGTGTGAGCCCCCCTTTTATGGACAAAACTAAACAATACAAAGCCCCTATGGTGACTTTTTCTTTAACTTCCTATTTCGAAGTGACTTCAGACCCGCACAGTGTTGCAAAGCACTGGTACAAAATTTCCCTGACCTCCCTCAGGGCTCCCTGACCATCTCAAAGCTGGTTACGGAGTCGGGGTCTACACTGTGGCCCGCCAGCAGGACCAACAGGACGGGTCCTGAGGCCCAGAATGCCCACGGAAGCCTAGGGGCTTGAGTGGCAGTGTCCTGCACGCCGCCCACTTCACGGTTTCAGATATGAAGAAGGGCATGTGGACATGCGAGGAGTTAGAAGACAGCGGGGAGGATGACGTAGGACTCTGGGGCGGAAGTCCACGGGGGCAAAGTGCAGGACAAAGGCCACACACAGGGTGCCCACAGGAGAGGGCACAGCGGAAACCTTCGAGAGTTGGGAATCATGGAGAGGCCCTAGGGCAGTGTCCAGCAGAGCCTGCGCCCAGGCCACTCCTCCACAGTCCAGGACACTCCCTCCTGCTGAGAGGGCGCCAGGAGCAGGCAGGGCCGACCTCCCCGCAGTCCTCTGGGAAGTGACCAGTGTCTGCTTTGGAGGGTAAAGTGTAATAGCCATTAAAACAGTTTTTCTTTTTAATTGAAATTTCAAAAACTGGAGCACATGAACAAAGCAAATAAATACTGACTTAAATAAAATAAAAAATAAAGCACAATATCTATCCAGGAAGTTTAAATGAGAACGTTCCAAAGCTGTCCGTACCGCGCTGATAGGACAGTCACACCACAGTTCACCACATCATTGACACACATCTCCGGACACGGGGTTTTTGTTTGTTTTTTTAACAGAGTCAGGGGGCTAGTTCTCCCTCTTAAAGCAGCGCCTTGCCGAGGTCTTTCCACACCAACTGTGGCTTCTGGAGCCATTTATTTAATAGGCCTCAGGTTGACTTGCTTCAAACGTTGGATTCCATTTTGGCCTGTGTGGCCAAAGCTCGTGAACTCCAGGCTCCTTGGCCAGGTCTTGTCTGCCCTCCTTTGTGCTGTTGGACGTGGTGAAAACCAGGCGTGGCCGGCCCGCCGCTGTCGGCTCCACACGTCGGGTTGAGAGTGGCATAGACGTGCTGGCCTCAAGCCTCCCGCCTCCCCTGCTCGCCAAGGTGACGCGAGCTGCTGTTGAAATGACTTGAGCCACTACAGGCTTTGGTAGCATGGTCAGCCAGCTGGCCCACCCCCGGCCCCTCAGCCCCAGGATTTTCAGAGCCAGGAGCACCGAGCCAGCGGACACGCAGGAAGCTGCACGTTCCACGCACGCGTCTACCTGGAGTCCTTCAGGCAGAACCTTGCCTGGCCTGGCCTTGGCACCTTTGTCTATGGCCACCTGCCTCTGTATCCTGGGGCGGGTCAGATTCTCAAAGGCAGAAGCGGAGTGTGCGGTTGAGGCCGCAGCCCTGGCCGCACAGCGCACCCGCGGCTTTTGCTTCTGTAAAAGCGCCACTTGGGCCCCAGGGTTTGCAGTAGTCAGCAGCCACTTGGACCAGCTCACATTCGTGCGGAGCACCCAGTATGCCCCCCGCAAAGCTCAGGCACCGTGTCGGGCTGCGTAGCAGCAGGGGGACAAATTCCAGATGTGAGCTCCTCAGCTGAGGCTTTTTAAAATACTGTGATTTCAACTTCTGCTTCCTGGCCAAAGCCGTCTCTTTGTTCTAAGCGAAGTTTGTCCATCTTCTCGAAAGCTAAGCGTCCTTTTTCACCTGAAATAGAGGGTGATCTGTCATCGGCTGTCTCCTGCCTCCGTGACCCTCTCTGCCAAGCCATGTGGGTCCTACACAGGGGCAGGAGGGCCTGGGGACCTCTCAACCGGGTGACCCGGTGGACTGAGCCTTGCCCCCGAGTCAGCCAGTCTCTGGGACAGTCGGCCAGGCTGCAGCCCTGCCTTGCCTCGGGCTCTCGCTCACCAAGAATCATACACAAGTTTAAGAAGACAATAAAACGCGTCTCTCCACCTCCACCAGGAGGGGCTCCTGCCTCAGGCAGGACGCTGGTAAGTAGGAGGTGGGCCCTGCACCCGGGCAGTGACAGGCCCATAATGTGCCCTCCCAGGTGCTGTTCTGCTCTGAGAGCTGGGGCTGGCACCGCTTGCACAACTTCACCAAGAGCCTTGGGAACCCCATCACGCCACATGTCACCTCTGATGCCACTTTACCGAATGACAGTGTGGCTTCCCGGGCTGCAGCCCGCACGGCCTCGAGGTCAGACTGGCACAGGCTGGCAATCTGATCGATGCTTTCGATGCCCTGTTGGAGGATAAGAGAATACCTACTAGGGGACACTTTAAAACACAGGTAGAACCCCTCTGTCAGCCCTGCACACCGCCCCGGCACGGTCCCGGGGCTTCAGGTCTCTGTGGCTGTAGCTCGTTGGAGGCACCCTGGGAAGTGCCTCTCTTCAGCTCTGAGAGCTGCCAGAGAGAGGCTCAGAGCTTGTCTTGGTGAGGCCTTTTCAAAGGCCCAAGCACATTGCAGCAGCGAGCGGGGAGCTGACGCGGGTCTCTGGGGAGTCCAGCCTCAGGTGACGCAGAACCCGGACGGTTTTAAAAACTTGATGCACAAAACACTCATAGTGACATTATGACTTTTTACATTTTCTTTTGTAGTTGTAGATGGACACAATATTTTATTTGTTTAGTGTATGTGGTGCCAGGGATCGAACCCAGGGCCTCACGCATACTGGGCAAGTGCTCTATCACTGAGCCACAGCCCTGGCCCGACATTATGACTTTTAAAGTGGGTTTTTTATTTTTAAATTTTTTTTAGATGTTGATGGACTTTATTTTATTTACTTATTGATATTCGGTGCTGGGAATCAGACCCAGTGCCTCACACGTGCTAGGCAAGTGCTCTACCTCGGAGGTACATCTCCAGCCCCTGGATCTTTCACTTTTAAAACACTACATTCTCTATAATCTGAGAGTGGGTGAGTAGGTTAACTAAGGATACACTTGCCAAACCTCCCTGCAGAATTCAGAGGTGCTCCAGGTCCCTTTTCAAGCCATGCTCAATGTGACCAGCACTCCTAATCGCTCATCCCCCAGAAAAAAAGAATACCCCAAATGTCAACAGCCATTTCTGCTAAGTAGGAAGGTGGTGGGTAACTTTCTTTCACATTTCTGTTTTTGACATTGTCTTCCTTTTAAATAAGCTTAGTGTACCTTAAAATTTGTTAAGTGAGAATTTTAAAGCATATAAGGCTGTGGGATTCCCTGGGTTCAATCCCCTGCCCCACCAAAAAGCCAAACCAACACGTTAAAACACATAACCCAAGGGCTCCAGAAGTCCCTGGCGGCCCCCGCACCCTTGCCCACAGCCAGTACGTGCCCACTAGGGGTCTGGGGCCCCCGCTCTCCTCTGAGGCCACTCAGCAGGTGCCCTTGCTGGCGGTGACCCTCACCTTTTTGGTCCCAGTGAAATCGTTTTGAGGTTCATTACTTCAGCACCAACCCCCACCCCCCCGCCTCCTGTGGGTCCCCAGTGGGGACGGGCCACTCACCCTGAGCTGCTGGAGGGCCATGCATGCAGCCTGCTGGAGCCTGGCGTCACTCTGGCTCAGGGCGTCGGTGTAGAAGAGCAGAGCCTGGGGGAGAGGGCCCGTGAGCAGAGGGGGCAGGTGCCCGCCTCGGGGCTCGTAGTCAAGCTCTGACCTTCTCAACAAAACCCAGGCGCCATCCGTCCCCGGGCCAGGCGTACAGTCACAGGATGTGTGCTGCAGGGCTAATTCGCTGCCCAAACTGACCCCTGAACTGGCGGTGGTGAGGAACGCCGTCTGTCTGTCTCCTCGTGTCTGAGAGAGGCCTTGGAAATGGCCAGCTTCTAAAATGCTACAGCACAGGGCCGCGGGCCGGCTCAGAGCACAGAAGTGACAAGGTGTCCTCCAGGGCTGCTGCCCAGGCCAGAGGCAAAGGTGTCTGTCCCCCTCGTCACCCTCTCCCAGCCACAACTCTGGCCCTGTCCCCTTCGGTCACACAACATGGCCACGTCTTTTTGCCTCTGTGGACCTAACTCAGCCCTGGGAAACCTGGCCCTTGCTTCACAGAGTGTTGTGAGGGTCACTTAGAACTAAGCAGGTGGGGACGTGCCTGACCTGGGGGCACCTGGCATCCCCATCTGCAAGGGCGACCTTAGGACGAGTGAGCCTGCCCTCTTGGTCCAGAGACATTGGCACCGAGGCAGCTGAGGAGAGAATGGCTGCCGTCCCAGCTGCACCTGGCAGTCGTGGGCTGGGGTGGGGCTTGGTGGGAGAGCACACGCCTAGCACGCGCAAGGCCCTGGCCTCCACCCCAGCTCCTAGTTGAGAGGTAAGTAAACGGCCGCCCTGGGAAGCGGGGAGCTGGGGTAAGCCTCCAGAGCCCTCCTCCCAAGGCAGGCCCCGGGCGCCTCCAGTGAGGAAACGCCCTGGGGCTGCCCTCTCCACCCCCCCCCGGGGGGGGGCAGGGCCATCAGCGCCCCCGCTCAAGACACCTCCAAGGGGCTGCCACCGTGTGGAGGCCTTTGTTACAGTCCCAGGACATCCCAAGCCCTGGGCCGTGAGCCAGCTGCTGGTCCAGGGGCAGCACAAGACAGAGCGCATGATCCTCGCGCCATGCCCACAGCCTCGAGGGACAGCCCAGTGCCATCGACACATGATCTCCAGGGGAAAGAGGTGGGGCCTTCACGTGAAGTGAAATTTAAGCGACGTCAGCTGATGACATCGTGCTCACCTCTTGGAGACCCTGGTTAGCCAGAAACCCCTCAGACTTGGGAGTTGGACTTGCCAACATCAGGGGCGCGCTCTCTGGTGGCTCTGAGCCGCATGATGCTATGGGAGTCAAGGTTTTTAAAGGAATCCCCGTCTTGGCTCGGCCTCTGCTCGCACAGGTCAGTCAGATGTGTGGGCAGCTGCTGGACCACGGGGAGTGGGCGGGCGGGGGCTGGCCCTGGAGATCAGGCCCGGGCGGCAGCATGTGGGGGTTTCCTACATTGTTGTCCTCTGTGCTTCAGAAGTCCCCAGACAGAGAGTAAAGCAACCCCAGGTGCATGTGCTCAAGGAAGGACCGTGCGTGGGCCGCGTGGCCATGAGATTCGCTCTCTGGCCTGGAGCCGAGTCCCAGGTACAGAATAGGCCCCTGTCACCCTTCCCACCCACCTCGGGCTGCTGCCTGAAAGAGACCTAGTCCCAGACCTAGGACCACAAAGGCAGGGGGTCCCATCTCGGTTTTCAGGTGAACCCCAACTGGCTAGTAAGTGGGGATGGCCACGGGCACTCTGAAGGCGTCCAGTGTGCGGCCTCCTCGGAGACCGGACTGAGGCACTGCTTTAGAAGCAGATGGCTATCGGGGTGTGGTCTCTGGTGGCCTGGCCTCCCCAGCCCCGATCACACACGGCCTCCTGGGACCGTCCCGAAGCCCAAATCTCCCAGGACTACAGCCCTGCCACCCACTCCGCACGTGTCTCTGAGAACACCGAAGCCCCGCGCCCGCCCCGGCCAGGGCCTGGCTGTCCCTCCTCGACGCCTTACCTTTTCCCGGAAGCTCCTGTTCTTGGCTGCACTGGCCAGGCGAGCTCTGGCCGCCTTGCACACCCGTGGGGGCCCGTCCAGCTGCAACAGCGCCCAGGCTCTCAAGGTCTGGGGCAGCGGCTGGAGCAGGCCCAGCCGCTTTCCCCGCAGCTTCCTGACCGTCCTGAGCCGCCCTGCGCAGTGCAGTTCCTGGGTGAGCGTGACTGGGGGCGGAGGGGGGAGTCGAGGTTCAGCTGCTGTGAACTGCGAGGCGTCCCCAGCAGGCCCTGTCTGGACACCTTTCAAAAGGGACCTCCCGGAACCTGGGAAGGCTTTCTAGCAGGGGTCAGGTACACCCTGAGTCAAAGACACCACAGCCCCACTCTGGGCACTGAGCCAGCCCACTGCCACCGTCCCCAGCTCTGACGGCTGCACTGTGCTCTTCTTGTGTGAGACGGGGCTGCCTAAGGTGCTGAAGCTGGCCTTGAACTCAGACTCTCCATCCTCCTGCCTCCCTCCCTGGAGCGGTGGTCCCGGCATGCACCAGGACACCAGCTTCCCATCTTTTTTCCCACTCCACCTTCTAAAGCCACCTTCTTTTGGACTTGATTTCTCTGTGTCAGCCGAATGTGGAATCTCAATAAATCTGGGACCTCAAAACAGTAGCTAGAGGGGAAAGTCGCAGCAACTGAGCTGTAAGCTGGGAAACTGACTGGCTTTCGAGAGCCAGGGCAGGGGACCCATGGACACTCTTTGGCTGTGACTTGGTTTGAGACCCTGGCTTGGCCCCTACCTTCCTTGGTGAGCTGGGCAAAGTGCTTCTCCAGGTCAGAAACGCTCTGTCTCTGCAGGTAGCTGTGAAACTGGAACCAGGTGACAGTCTGTCCCTCCAGGAGCCCAGCCTCGGGGAGCAACCCTCTGCAGCTGACCACCTGCTCCAGGAGCCTGCGGCACACTGGCCACAGGGAAGGGGCCGTGAGGAGTCACCAAGACCTTGGCTGGCCTCTGCAGGCAGAGCCAGCTCCGTTACAAGGCTCCCTAGTGCACCTCCAGTGCCCATGGGGAAAGAGTGTGCCCAGCTGTGTCCACAGGCCCTGGGTCCCACAGCCTTGGTGCGTGGCTGAGCCCTGGGCTCAGACCAGAGGCAGGGCCGGGGACTCTGCCCATCAGTAAGCAGCCCAGAGCCACTGCCTGGATACAACTGTCACTCATCACCTGGTCAACAGAGAAAAATGCTGCAGCCCTGCACTCTGGGGAGGGGCCCAACCTGCATTTCAAGGCACCTTGATCAGACCTTACCTGCCCACCTTCCTCTAAGCCTGACCTCATCTCTTGAAGGCTCTGGTGGGAGGCATGGAATGTGTCCTCGGATAATGACCAACCCCTCTGTGTTTCCATGCACCTCGGGGCTCACAGCTGCTCAGAAGTGCGTCTGTGGAGGCCCTTGCCCTCCCCAGTGAAAGCAAGGTGCTCATAACCAAGCTGAGAGGTGGCCCCTGCCCAGTGCCATGAAGACCCAGGGAGGGGGAGAGGGTGACACAGCCCCTGTCACCATGCAGCAGGCCCAGCCTTGGGTGGCAAGGACGAGAGGGAGGACTACCTATTTCCAGCTGTCCTGGGTATTTCCCTCGGACTCTGTGCAGGAAGGTCCTCTTGAGCTGGCCCAGGAGCGTCGTGGCGGGGCAGGACAGGATGCTGCCGGGCCCCATGCACCCGTGCCACAGCGCCAGGCAGCCCTTCCCGTGGGAGGCCTGCGGAATGACTGGGAGCGGTTCCCCAGCCTGAGTGGCTGGTGCAAGAACAAGCCACAGGATCCCCGAGGGCCCTCCTCCAGCACCGAGGTCAGGGAAGTCAGGGGTGGCGTGACAACAACCAGGAGCAGCTGTCACCAGCACCTCTTTGTGGACAAGGAACCGGGGCTCACAAGGGAGCGGTCCTTGGGGTCAGAGGTAGAACTGGGGTCGCAGCTACCATTGCGGGCGTGCTGTGTACCCTGAATGTGCCCTGGGGATTACGGCCTGAAGGCCGGGCAGTGGCCTCCCCAGGACACAGAGAGGCCGTGACTCCGACTGAAGCCTTGCCCAGAGGCCGGGGTGGTGGAGTGTGCGCCAGCTGATCCAGGTGGCCTGCCCAACCGCAGGGCGTCTCTGATCCCTCCCCTCCCCAGACTGCTGTCTGCTTTGGGTGTGGGGAGGGGGCGAGGCAGCCCGTGGCAGGGCACAGTTCCTTACCATCTTCAATGGACGTCGCGTTGCTGACCTTGTCAAAATCAAGGTCAGAAAGCGTCTCCAGAATCTGCTTTTGCTGGGCTGCTTCCTCCAGGAGGCAGTCCTGCACCATCCTCGGCAGATTGGGGAAGGCCAGTCTCTGGAGGCAGTGTGTGGTGCCTTGGTCACCACAGGGACTGCGCTCGCCTTCCCCTGGTGCCCCGCTCGTCCTGTCCTCCTCAGCCGCAGCTCCCTGACTCACTCACCTGAGCCTCTTAAGAGGAGGCTAAGCTGCCAGGGGCCACCTTTGCCACCAAAAGTGCACCCCACCCACCTCACAAAGCAGAGTGGAAGGGCAGAGCCCGCCACGGTGGCCCTGGAGCCCTCTGAAATCTCCCTTCTGGTGGAACCAGTTTGGACTCAGCTTCCTGCGTCTACAGATGTGTCATGTACGTTTAGGGGCAAGCTACACAAGGCCACCCAACTGCCCATCCAGGCCCTGGCCGTCACCTTCCACAGGGGGACCTCAGCCTTGTCGCTGTGCCGTGCCCCCACCACTTGAGAGATCAGCTTCTTTCCTAGGCTTCCCCTGGCCCAGCAAGCCCCCCAGCACCCCACCTGCAGCAGGGCTTTGCAGACTTTCAGGTGGACCGTGAGCAGCGTGTCCAGCTCCCGGGCACCAGCTGTGAGCTCCCTGGAGGACTCCTTCAGTGGGGCCGGCGGGGGCCGGTCTTTCCTGAGTTGGAGGGAGAAGAGGCTGGTGACCGATCGGGTGAGCAGGCTCCGCTTCTGTGAGGCCAGGAAACCCTCCCCCCTGGAAGTCAGCGAGGCCACCCCAGGTCCCAGGGGCCTGGAGGTCACTGAGGAGAAAGCCCAGCGCGAAGCTCAGGAGCGAAGGCAGCCCGGGTGCTAGGGTGTGGCCCAGGGGCTGGCCGGAGGCGGGGCCGGGTCCAGCTCTGACTGCGGACGCGTCCGCCCCCCAGCCCCACTTTACTCCAACATGCAGTGGAGAGGAAGCAGACGCCTGTTGCCACCTGTGGGCAGTGAAGCCCCACAAGCAAGACACAGGGTGCAAGTGGGCACCAGGTGGCATCAGGGCAGAGGGTGGCAGGGCCTCTGGCTGGGCCAAGAGCCCCTCCCTGTGGCTCTGGGGAGGGAGCAGGAACCCAGACCGCACCCTTCAGGGCTGCTGAGATTACCAGGGGGTGATCTGAACAGGTGGTGTCACTGGCTTGGGCCAGAGGTCCCCAGGGCCAGAGCGTCAGTCACCAGGGGACTTTGGTTTTGTGACCCCTTGGTGAAGTTGAGGCCAAAGAGGTCCCACGGTGCACTCTGTTTACAGATTTTTTAAAAAGCACATTCCTTGGAGCAGGAAGCTCGGGTGGGTCTGGAGTGGGCAGGGGACGTTGGGGGACGGAGGGAGGGACCACCAGCGCTGGGAGGAAGAGGCCCGGGAGGCAGGTGGGAGGCGGGAGGCAGGTGGGAGGCGTGGAGCTGAGGCAGCCTGGCCCAGCTGGTCCTCGCTGTGCAGGGTGCACTCACCGCAGACCCTGGGAGTCCCCGAACAGGGACAGCTGGTCGGGAGCGAGGTCGGCGTGGAGGAAGGCGAAGCTCTCCAGGATGCAGTCCATCAGGCTCTCGGCCGCGGGGTCCTCCTGCCGGGCCCCGCGGGGCTGTGGGCAAGGGCCAGGTTTGAGGCCAGTGCCGCCGGGGCTCCAGGCAGGACCCAGCCGGGACCCAGCCAGGTCCTTCAAGCCTGACGGTCCTGGTCTGGGCAGGGCGTGTGTGGGGGTGGCGCTTCCCGAGGTCCCTCCTGAACAACTGACACCGCGAAGCAAAATCTCAAGGGCCGCCCATCTGAACAGGCTCATCTGGGTCCACGACACCCCGGACAGCACAGGTGATAGGAATGAGGAGTCCAGGAGGGGACACGGCGGGCAGGCCCCTCCCCCACAGAGCTGCCACTCTGCTCCCGCTGCCCCTGCCCCGTGGGAAGGTGGGACCGTATGGCCGGGTGGCTCAGTTTTCTAAGGTCCAGGAACCTGGGGTTTGCGGGAAGCCCCGAGTTTTAAGTTCTGCACATACAGATTGTTTTCAGAACATGCTGGAGTCTGGGACAAACCCCTTTAGAAGCTCAGAGGCTTCAGGTGAGCTCAGGATCCTCCTGTTGAGTCAGTGTCCTGCCACATGGCTTCCTTCCTGGAGACTGTCCCCTCCCCAGGACAGCTAGGCCTCGCCCCCAAAACTGCACCCCAGGCCCAGCCAGCAGAGGCGGGAGCGGGAGCCAGGTCCTGAGTCACCCCGGGAGACGCCCGAGCAGCCAGAGAATGAAGGCTGCAGAGAGCCCCCCGACAGGGCCAACAGGCAGGCGCAGGGGTGTGTGTGTGTGTGTGTGTGTGTGTGTGTGTGGAGACACGCACACAGTGGATTCTCCAGGAAGTCACAGCAAGAAACAGAACCCGTGAACCCAGCAGGGCCTTGGGGGCCAGGGTGAGGTCCCTGCAAGCCCCTTCCAGCAGCTCCCCCAGCCACCAGAGGAGACGCGTTGAAGACACCTCGTGTGAAGGTGCTGCCGCGTCAGCCCTGAGTTCCGGCCCACAGCACCTTGACCCTGCGGAGGGCAGCTCCTGGGACCCCAGCCAGGACCCGGCCAGCCCCACAGCTACGCTCTCAGGGCCACTTAACCACAGCCCCTGACAAAAAGCACAAAAATATGAAAAATGTGGCACCGACTAGACCATGAGCAGGACAGGGGCTAAGGAGCAGAAGCAAGGCCGGCGTCGCCTGGCCTAACCTCCGCTGGCGACCTGAACATCCTTGAAAGTGACTGTGTAGGTGCCTCAGGCTGGTTCCAGGGTCACAAGTGAATCTTAGCAAGCAGCAAATGCAGGTCCACAGTGGCTCGGGTCACCTGCGTGCTCATACACGATGCCCGCTCATGGTGCACGGCTGCGCGTGTGCACACGTGCCATTTCTGTTCAGGAAGCACCCTGAAAACCAGGACCTAGGGGTATTTTTATCATTCTCAAAATAAAGGGAAATGTTCCTTAAAGATGTTCTGAATTATTGCTTGTGGCCATATTTTAAGACTTGTGTGTTAAGTGGGTGTCATTTTTCAAATTACCCGTATGTGAAGGAAGTTGTGTGCGCGTTGACTCAAACTGTCCCACACAGAAAGACTTCAAAAGTACAAAAAAAGTGACATTGTTTCTTGAAACTTTTTCTCAAAAATTTCAGGCAGGTACTTTTTAAAGCCTGTAGCAGTGATAAGCATGAACATTTTTTTTTAAGTTACTGGTATAAATGAGGATTTCCACCTTCTGTGCTGATGGGTGATGTTAGGGCAGGTGACAATACAGCCCAAAAGACTGACTTTTGAAGAGAGCTGTTGGCGGTTCAGTGCCAAAGTGTCCCACAGGGAGTGGGTTGTAGGTTAACTGATGTGTGAGAAAGTGCTGGTGACGTGTTCATTTTATTTTATGTACGTTTTCAGCTTATGCAAATGAAAAGTAGAGTTGTCTGTCCAGGCGAGCCCCTCTCAGAGCCACTGTCCCAGAGCCCTCCTGTGAACGGAGGCGCTGGCCTAGCCGTGTGCGGAAGGTTCTGGTGGGGCGTGTGGGGGAGGCAGCAGGTGGCTCGGGGCCTTCCAGGGGCCAGTGAGACCCATGTGTGGCTCCTTAACACCAGGCTGCAGCCCCCTCTGCCGCCCAGGTCAGGAGACTCGTGGTAGGGCCGGGTTCTGGCTGAGTGTGGGACAGGTCATCCTCTGTGAGCCCCGGCCCCCCTTGTGATGGTCCTCCTGGCCCAATGAGGGCTCTGGTCCCCACTTGACAGGAGGACGCTGAGGCCCACAGAGACGCCGTCTACCCAGGTCGTGCTGAGATGCGGCCAGGAGGCCTGCCCTGGCCCAGCGGCCCCAGGGCCCATGCCCAGTGGCCGGGCCATCAGCAGAGCAGGGCTGCTGCCCCCAGGAACATGGCCATACCTTCAGCCGGTCCCTGAAGCCGAGGACCTGGTACTCGAGTTCCCGGAGCTGGGGCTGGGCAGGGTCCGTGGACCTCAGTAGCTCCAGGACCTCCTGCAGGGGCCTCTCGGGGGCCATGGCAGGCCCGTCCACTGCAGCCCCAGCTTCTCCTTCATCCTGGTCCTCCCGGCTGCTCGGGAGCATGCAGCTGTGGGACAGGGGGCCCTGGGGCGGGTTGGGGCTCTCGGCTCCCAGGTTCCTCCAGCCAGGCTGCTCCACAGGTGAGGCCCCTGCCAGGTGGGCCATCTCGGGCAGCAGGCCCAAGGGTGGGGGGCCCTTTGGGGCCTCCTCTTCAGTGGAGGCGGCAGGGTCAACGGCTGAGGGCAGGAGCCCCACATCCGAGGTAGAGGCCGACCTGCTTGATTCGGCGTCCCGGGGCTCCTCGGAGCTGAAGGAGTCCATCTCTGGCAGCTCCTGGCTCTGGCTTCGCAGGCTGGGGCCCTGGAGGTCACTCTCGGACAGGTAGCTGAGGATGGAGGGGGCCCTCGGCCTGCCCAGCAGCGACGCTGGCTGCGCTGGCTGCTGCAGGACAGACTGGGAGGGACACAGCAGCCTCACCCGCCGCCCGACTCGGCCAGGCCCCAACACCCGCTCTGCCTGCCCAGCTCGGGAGGCGGGTCCGCCAGGTGCTGGCTTCCGGGGCCCACACTCGGCCCTGCCCCTGCCAGCACCCTTCCCACGCACTCCTCGGGCGCTTGTTCAGGGTCACCTTCCTGGAGCCTGTCCCTCCGTGCCCCGTTCTCTGCGGTCCCCCCACCTGCCCAGCAGCCCCTCTCCTTCTCTGTTTTCCGAGGTTTCTGTGCCCCTTAGGTGGCCAGTGGCCCTCATCCTGGCACCAGGTCTCCCCATGGAGGACAGCCCTCCCCTGGCCAAGAGCAGGACGTGGTGTGGAGGTTCGAATGAGTGAAGTGGACAGATGGACAGATGGACTGAGTTACACACATTGTCACAGCAGTGGCAGCAGCTGTCACTAGGCAGTGTGTGTGTACCTGCCCTGCCCCAGGCCTCATGTCACTCCGTGCAAACCTTCACTGTGTCCCCGGAGGGTGGCACTGTCAATCTCATTGCTCTGATACAGGAATTGAGGGTTAAGAGGCCTAGTGACGCCCAAGGTCACACCCAGGTGAGAGGTGGGGGCCAGGGCTGCAGAGTGCAGGCTCGTCACCACAGGTGGCCTTAACCCAGCTCGCTGGGCCCACGGGAAGCCACCCCCCACTCCAGGAGGGCGACAGAAGTCTCGTCCTGCTTAGTCTCCAAATTTGGGGCTCCTTGTTGGGAAGGGTTCTGGGTCCCCAGTACATGAGCCTCCACGTGCCAGTGCCACACCCAAGTAGGGGACGAGCACCTAGGCACCTCAGGACCCTGGCCAGGGCTCAGGCTTTGGGAGATGCGGGCATTTCTGAAGAAGGACGCATATCCAGGGTCACGCACTGCCCTGCAGCTGGCCACTGCATGAGACGCGTCATGTTAAAGGAAGCACAGTCGGGCCCGGGGCCCGCGGCGTGGGCTAGCGAAGCAAGAGGGAGCCGCTGGGGGCAGAAAGAAGCCCCTCGAGAATGACAATGGCGTGGGGAGGGCAGCTGCAGAGTCAGGAGGGGCATGAGCCACGCTCACAGAGGGAAGCGTCCCTGGAAGGACACAGAAGGGACTCGGAGGGGACCTGGTCCCTGGAGAAGAGACGCTTTACTGCGTCTTTCGGGCGGTGCTCCCGGAAACGCACTGACAGGACAGAGCAGAGGCCAGAGCCAAGGCCAGGCAGAAGGAGGCCCCCAGGGGGCCGTTCAGAACTGGCCGACCCAGGACCACCCCCAGGGCCAGCAGCAGAGGAAGCAGAGGACGCCCAGCACCCAGGCGAACCCCAAAGCAAGGCCGAGCCCTAAGAGGGCCGCCCCTGGGAGTGCCGGGAGCTCAGCCCAGCCCCCACTTCCTGTCCCCCCAGGTGACCAGTGTCCCTGCCCTGGGGAGAAGGTCACTCACCAGGTAGTACCTCTCCCGGAAGCTGGGGGTGCTTGGGGGTGTCCAGTTGTACAAGGAGCCCTTCCTGCTGCCCAGGGAAAACTTGCCCGTGGGGCTGGGTGACACCAGGAGGCTCTCAGAGTCAAATGGGCTGGAAGGAGAGCAGAGGCTGGGTGTCACCGGTTCCAGGTCCTTCCCTTGCAGGAGCTGTCCGGGGCCAAGTTCCAGGCCCGAGTCTTCATCAGTGATAGCGCTGAGCAGGGGTGGACGCAGCCGGCCCCGCCACCCTTCCTTCCCCTCCAGGACAGCCCTCTGTGGCTGGGACTTGTGCATGGGGGGACGGAACTCCCAGGTAAGCCACCTGTTTAGGCCAGTGCCACCCCTGATGGGAAGGGACAGGACTGAATTCACCCAGAGCCTTGAAGATCATCTAAAACTGAGCTCGCTACACACACCTCTGCGCTCGGCTGGGCTGAGCTCCCCATGTCCCCGACTCAGCCTGCAGCTGGGCACACAAAGGCCGGCCCAGCCATGAGGCCTGTGGCCAGGGCGCTGCAGGAACCTCCACGGGCAGCCTGTCTGCCAGCCACCTGCACAGCCCTGTGGGCTCCCGGGACCCGGGGTCCTTGGATGGCTGGCCTGGGGCTGGACAGTGGGGAGCAGTTACCCCCGCGTATGCTAGAGGGGTTCCCCTGGTGATGTCCCCAACCCTTCACACCGTGGCCCCTGCCCTGGGGGATAAGGAGGGAATTCTCTGGAAACACAAGTTTTCATTTAGGGGCAAAAAAAAAAGCTCTTCTGTCCACAGTGCGAAGCCTCTGGGGACCACCAGAGGTCAGTGGGACGTGGTGCAGGATAAGAATCCCCCACCCACAGGGTCCTTCTCATGAACATGCATCTCGCAGGTCTGTGGCCCTGGGGTCACCCCGGAACCAGGAGGCAGGTGCAGCCAGAAGGCCTTCCTGGGCAGAGGCCAGCCTCCTCCAAGGAGCCAAGCTCAGGAGGCCGCTGGAAAGCCCCCTGGCCAGCCCAGGGCAGAGCCGTTCCCCCAGGCCAAAGTGAGGCTGGGCTCAAACTCAGGGCAGCTGGGGTGGGCAGGGCCACGGAGAAGGCCTGGGCCTGGCCTTTCAATGGGGCGGGAGGTGAGAGTGGTCAGGGCAGGGACATCCTCGGGGACAATCCGGCCAGAGCCAGGCCCGGGTGTGATCCGGCCACTAGGGAGCGCTGTCGGAGTCTCTTGGCCCCTGGGATCTGGGGGTGGCCCTGGGGACGCGGGGCTGGTGCAGGAGCTGCCACTCACTTCCACAGCACCTCCAGCTGCAGCTTGATGGTGCCCAGCTCTGTGATGTCCACCACCACCATCTGCGGCTGCGTCCTGAAGAAGTCTGCGATGTCGCAGGTCACGGAGCCCACCACCAGCGAGCTCAGGCCGCGCAGCTCTGTCACCTGGGAGCGGGGACTGGAGGGTGGTGTCCGAGCGGGCACCCGGGGCGCCCTGGCCCCACCCCAGGCCCCGTCCCACCTTGATCTCCAAGTTCTCGTGCAGGGTGGGGACAAAGGCCTTCTCCTCCTGGTCCCACGTCTGGCTGTCGTCCGGCTCAATCCGGCCCTTCAGCCTCCAGCGCTGGCCGCCCAGGCGGATGAGCACCTGCAGTGGGCGCAGGAGGTGTGCTGGCGGCCCAGGGTTCCCGGCCACCTGCCTGAGGGCTCCCTCCCAGACAGGACCTCAGCTAGGACCCTGGCTCCCGGCAGCCCCTACCCGCAAAGGCTGGCTGGACCCTGAGGACTGACCTCCGACGGTGGCCGTACCTCATAGTGGTCTCCTGGGCAGAGGCGCGCGTAGCCCACCAGGCCTGGAACACAGAAATGGGCCAATGCACGCCTGCCCTGCCCTGGAGTGGCACATCAGCATCGGGGCAATGGGGGGGTCCTGGGACCCCACAGAGAGGCCCCGGGGGAGTGAGGCTTTCCATGTCACATGGCCCTCCAGCATGAAACCCAGAGGTGGGCCTGCCCTGGGGCTGTGGCCAACGCTGCTCGCCCCCCAGGGGCCCCAAGAGGACCTGAGCCACCCACGCTGGCCTCCGGCCACTGCCTCAGCCGTTACCTTTCATCCTGACGTGGAACTCGCCCAGGTGAACCTCCAGCGCCCCCTCGATGAGCCACATGTCCTGAAAAGCCCCGTGGGAGCTCAGCCACTTGCCCAGCCACGCCCACCCCAGGGGACACCACTGTCCCTGCAGCCAGAGCGCTCCGCCCACCTCGGCGCACTCATGCAGGCTGCGGCCCAGCTCCTGCAGGCTCTCGCGGGAAGCGCGGCTGGGCGGGCACCTGGCGAAGGCGCGCTGCATGTTGGTGGCCCCGTCGCGCAGGCGGCACTGGACACAGTAGCCCTCGTAGAGCTCCTCCACCTGAGGGCACAGCCAGTGGGCACGGCCTCCCGGCCAGCCCCATACCTGCCTGCAGGCTGCTCCCGCTGAGGGCTGACCCTCAGCCCAGCCTGCACCGCTGCCAGCACAGCACCCAGCCAGCACCCAGGGTGGCCTGGGGCAGCGGCCACCCCGGGCTCCGTACCCCAGCACCTGGTGTGACTGGTATACAGTCAGTGCACAATAAAAAACTAGTGAAGTGGACCAAGGGGTGCATCACTTCCGCCTCATCCTGGTTTTTCGACTCTAAGACGGGAGGGGGCTTATGATGGCCACGGGGTCCCAGGTGACAAAGGTCACAACAGGGAGCACAAGCCACAGTGAAGCCTCAGGGACTGAACCAGTCCTTCTCAGGGCCTCTGCTTTCCCACCCAGGCTCTTAGGGTGGCTGAGCCCAGCCTCCCAGTCCTCTGGGGTGCAGCATGAGCCCCCCAGTCCTGGGGCCTGGCCACCCTCTTACACCCCCCCAGGCCAGAGACCCTGCGGCCCTGAGACATGCCCGCGGCCAGGAGTCACCTGCAGTCACCAGCCGCCTCGGCCGCCTCGGCTACCTCGGCCACCTCTGCTCATCCTCACCTCTCTCCCGCTGCCCAGCTCCAGGGAACCTCGCCCTGCCCAGGGGGCTCCAGCTCCTACTGGCCTGCCGAGGCCGCCCGCCCCTGGACCCCCGGCGGCTGACCTTGCTGATGTGGAACTCCATCTTCCGGATGTGCCTCTCCACGCAGCGCGTTTGCTTGTCCCAGGGAAAGACAGATCTGTTGAGTGGCCTGGGCTCCCGCCACCCTCCTCCAGGCCTGACACTGGGAGCAGGGTGTCTGCCAGCCCCCTCCAACCCTGGGGGAGGCTCACCCTGGTCTCAGTCTGCCCATTTGTAAAGTGGGAGGAGACCAGGTGTTCCATCTCGGGCAGCCAGCCTAGGCCTTCTCAGCACCGCCCAGCGTCGCCCACCCTGCTGAGCTCCGGGGAGGGCTTACCTTGTCCAGGTCGTAGTAGAAGGCCTGTGGGGAGCAAAGCGGGGGGGTCAGAGCCCAGCGCTCCTCAAGGCCTGAGAGGCCACGTGCAGGGCCTCTGAGCTTGGAGGACAGAAAGCCAATGACTGCAGCCGCCCCAGGCTGTCCTCGGTGGCCCGCAGACTGGTCACTGACCAGGCCCAGGAGGAGGAGTGGCGGCTATGTGCATTTCGGAGGAGGCAGTTCTAAGTCTTGTGCTGCTGCCCCTAGAAGTGTGTCCGGGCAGGGCACTCGCTCTCTCTGAGCCTCCATTTCCTCCTAGTCCAATGGGCATCAGTAGCACCTGCCCCCCGGGTGGCTAGGAGTAAAGGACACAGCAAGCTCAGCTCCAAGTGTCCAGGGAGGGTCCAGCCATTGCCAGAACGTGAGAGGGGGCCTGGGAGAGGCAGAGCCTGGGGTTCCAGCCTCCTGGGAAGGCCACAGGGTATGTACTTGGGGCCTGGTGGCCTCAGAGTCTGTGACCATGTGGTGGGAGACCATGGACATTGGCAGATGATGGTGTGGCCACCAGGCTCGCTGAAGCAGGCCGCTGGTTGCCCACAGGGGAGGGGTCCTTACAGCTGCCTGGTCCCAGGAGATCAGAAACCCAGGGCAGGAGAAGCGAGGTGTGGACAGTGCGCAACGGGGACTTTGTTCTATTTGTTTCTGTACTTATTTATTTTTATTGTTTGTTTGTTTTGTGGGACTGGGGATGGAACCCGGGGCGCTTCACCATTGAGCCACCTCCCACCCTTTGTGTTTCTTATTTTGAGACAAGGTCTCACGAAGTTACCGAGACTGGCCTCCAACCTGTGATCCTCCCGCCTCAGCCTCCTGAGTCTGTGGGATTACAGGCGTGCGCCCTGCGCCCCGTGTGACCTCATTTTTGCAGGTTAGCTGTTGACCCAGAACTTCTGTGTGCACATGTGTGTGTTGACGTGATCATCATGTGACCAAGGGGGGCAATTAAAGAACAAGCAAGGGTGAGGAAGGGCCACCCAGGCGGGCCGGGGAAGATGGGGGAGAGCATCATGTGAACAAGGAGACTCAAACCCCCAATGTGGGTTTTCCCGTGTGTGACGTTGAAATGGCACGTGCAAGGCCGTAAGCCAAAACCCGTCTCAGAAAGGAACCGGAAAGAGTCCAGGACTTCGAAAAGAAGACAGCTGCCTGGCACTGCCTCAGAGACCAAGGTCCTACTGCTGTGCCACCGGGCAGCCGCCAGGGGAGCAGCCCACACGTGTCCTCCCACGGGGTGCCCCGGGCAGAACCTCCCCGGCCTCCACACGCCGTCTGCACGTGGGAGAGGCACGCGCACGCGCTCACACCCTGCCTGCCTCGGAGGCCCCAGAACTGAGGGCAGGTGCTGGGCACAGGCAGGGCCCTGCAGCGCCTCTTCCCACCTGTGCTGGCGCCTCCCAGCCACCCACCCAGGGTGGGCGCGCTGAGCTGGCCAGGCCTCCCCTGCCCCCCGTGGGCCTCCCCAGTGGCCTCTGATATGAAAACCCACTTCCCTGCCACCCGCTGCCCCCTCACTCGGGCTGGTGGCCTGCTCTGCACTTTGTCAGCGCTTTGGAGGGGCCCAGATGGGACCCCCACAGCAGCGAGGCCCCTCCTCGTGTTTCCAGAGCCTGGCAGGGAAGCGCGGGTCCCGCAGGCGGCCGTGGCTGAAGGGAGGAGCTGGAGGCCAGCCCACAGCCAAAGGGTCCTCCCTGGGGTGGAGGCCCGAGCGGCGGGAGCCGGCAGTGCCCAGGCGCAGCCAGGACCCGTGGGCACCGACACTTGCCATAAACAATGAGCGGCTCTTCAGTGTCAATGTCCCCAAAGTCCCATGGAACACAGTTAACTAGACCGTGTTCGCTGTCTGTCTGTCTGGGGCCAGAGCCAGCGTGTCTTGGGCTGTCCCGTGCTCCCTGTTTCCTTTGTTCTTTGCTGACTCAGGCTGCAGTGGGGTGAGCGCTGGCCCTGGCTGGACAGGCCCAGGCCCTGCCTCAAAGCCACTGCTGGTGACAGCAGAAAACCTGGCCATCCCTGGACATTGAGATCTGCAGGCTCCTGGAGGACAGCAGGGGCCACTGTGACACTCCAGAGAGACGTCCACTGTCCCTGGTCACGTCAGCCTCCAGGTCCCAGGGCAGCCAGTGTCCAGGGCCTGTGAAGTGGGACCACCCAGGACAGCTGCCCCGCAGGTCCCTGCCTGCCCAAGTTCCTTCAGAGCCAAGAGCAGGGGAGATGGCCCAGGGGCCTGCGCTGTCCAGTTACGTCCATCGGGTTGAGGTGAGGTCAACTCACCCCGAAACCAACGTCCCTCCCCTGAGTCTCGATGTCCAGACTGACCACGCTGGACGGGGCAGGGCGGGCGCTCACCAGCCTGGAGTTCCTGCGGGCGTCCGCGTGGCGTCCACACAGGTGGTCCAGCTCGGCCTGCTGCGCGCACAGGTGCTGCCTGCGGAGAGGACGCGGGGTCTGAATGGAAGAACCCAGAATGGGGGCAGGCAGGTGGCTGTGCTGAGGGCTGCGCTCTCTTCAGAGGCCACCCTGGTGCTGGGGGTCACCAGGGTAGGAGGGGGGTCTCAGGAGGCTCCCACTTTGGAGACAGGCAAACTGGCCTTGCAGGCAGCTGGTGGCCTGGCTGGACCACACAGGGAGGAGGCTGGACTGAGATCCGCAGCCACCTAGTGGCCTCCCAAGGCCACACTCTCCAGCCCTGTGCGCGCCCCTCCCAGCCTGGGGCCCGGCTCGCTCACTCCTTTACTGACAAGCATGGCCTTCCTGCCAACTGGATGCCCAGGACGGGGACACTGTAGGGGCCTTTGCACACCCTGGAAAGCACAGAGGGAGTGGCAGCAGGAGACCTGGGGTCTGCCAGAGGGCACTGGGATGGCGACCACCCTGTTCCATCACAGGTCTGCTGGGTTGCCCTAGGAAGTTCACTTGCCCTCTCTGGGCCTCACTTCTACTACCTCAAACACGGAAGGAACAACTTCTTTTGGGAGAACACTGCTCGCTCAGGGATTGGGCTCCCCAGGAAGAAGAAGCCACCACCAGCCCTGGACAAGTCTCAAGCAGGTAGTCCTGAGGGGACGCCAGACGCTGCCCTTAGAGATGAGCCCCTCGGGGCGGACCCCCATCTCCATGCACACGGCATCTCCCACTCCCATCAGCGGGGCACCCACAGGCCTGGCCCGGAGGGGAAGGGCCACCCCTCCTTCTGCTGGCCCGTGACCCATGTCCTCTTACTCTCCAAACCCAGAGCGTAGGTCCCTTGATTTCTCCTGGAGATCCAGGGGCCGTGCAAAGCGCACCTGTCCCATGTCTCGCGTCCCCTGCTCCGAGTGCACGTGGCATTTTTGAGAAGGGACGCCTCGAAAACTGCTTCACGGAAGGACCGTGGGCACCGACTCCGCCCCCGTGGGGCTGGGCTGCCACTGACCGAGGGCAGAGCGAGCCCTCGTCTCTCCAGCAGCGGGTCAGGGGGCTGCATCTGGGGACAGTACTCCAGGAACCGCCCCCCAGCACCACCAGCCGCAGTGACGGGGTGGTGTCCCTGCCTCTGGGGCCTGGCACATGCTGGGAGCGCCAGGCCAGCTGGGGACAGGCGCCCTCCGGAGGTGATGGACCTCCCGCTCTGCTCAGAGTAAAAGCAGCGCGCTCTGCCCCTCTGGAGCCCGGGCTCTCGGACCCGTGCCCCGGGCGCCCTGGGTCACCCTTGGGCCACCCCCACCACGCCCACATCCCACCCACGCCGTCAGCCCCCCTTCCTAAGGGTCTTGAAACTGCTCCCGTCCCTCTGGCCCTGCCGCATCCTGGGCCAGCCCACGGCCTCCCCTGCCCCCCCTGCCTCCCCCGCCTCCTGGCCTCTGTGGTGCCACCTCCACACACAGCCTGAGCCACACAGGGTCCTTCCTCTCATGGGTCCTCCGTGGCTCCCAGGTGCAGGCTGAGCACCAGAGGCCTCAACACAGCCCACATGGCCCCGAGCTGTGGTCCCTACTGCCATCTACCCACCTCTCTCCCTGAAGCCGCCCCCACCCCGTCTGCTCGGCCCCAGCCCCCCTACCCCAGGGCCTTTGCACTCCGACTCCTTCAGCCTAGAATGTCCTCCGTTCTGTGGGGCCACCTCCTCGCCACTGTGGGCTCTGCTCAAAGCCACCTTCTTGGCGGGGCCTCCCTGCACGGTGGGCCTGCCCGCCCTGCCCTCTGCTCCTCACAGTGCTTGATGCCCCTGGCACCCTGCGTCTCCCCTTCCTGGGCTGCCGATGGCCTCTGTCTGTCCATCTGGGAGTCACCACACCTGAGTGCCTGGCGCCTCCGAAGCCTCCAGTTAGTAAACGCTGGCAGCTGCCTCCCCGGGTGGCCTCGGACCGCCCTCCCCACCTTCGTCAAGCCCCTCCCTCCCTCGGATCCAGCCGCCCATCTGCTGTGCGTTCAGGGCACAGGCTCCGGCCCCAGGGCCTTGGCTGGTGCGGTTCCCTGGGCCTGGGCTGCGTGTCCCAGAGAGGAGCTGGGACCGAGAACATCCTCCCCTGAGGCCCGGCCCTCCTCGGAGCCTCCCAGGACCAGCCCCTCCGCCCCGCAGGGCCCTCCCTGCACTCAGCTGGCACAGGCTATGGGCCCGCTGTCACCTCCCCTCCGTGTCGTGAGCATCCTGGGACCAGGCTCCTCCTGCCTTTTTCCCCACGGGGTCCCCAGAGCCTGGGGCAGGGCTGAGCACACAGCTGGGCCCGGGGCCGGAGCAGCCAGGAGCCCAGGCGCCCCTCACAGCTGGGCACGCTCCCGGCGGCCACTTACTTGAGACCCCTCTTCAGTGCTTCAAAGATCTTCTTCACCTGCTGGGGCTGGGGGTCCAGGCAGGCCGACCCCTTGCGCAGCGAGCCGTAGGTCCTGGGGGGCTTGACAGGGGTTCGTGACCTCACTGAGTTCCTGCTGATGGACTTCCTGTGGGGGACCAGGGCCAGACAAGTCAGGGCAGGGTTCTAGACAAGGCCCTCGGCCAGGGCAGGACCCTGGGGAGTCGTGACCAGAGCCAGGGAGTCAGGACCGGGCTGGTCCCACCCTCCACCTCAAAGCTGTGGGTCTTGGGAAAGCTGAGACTCTCTGAACCTCAGTTTCCTCATCTATAAGGTGAAGGGCCTGGACTCGGGGATCAAGAAAACAATAATAAAAATCTAGTGTCAGAAATGAACTGCAGCTAGAAATAGAACCAAGCAGCCCGAATGCCAGAGCTCCCTGCAGCGGCTGTCTGTGCAGGCAAAGCAGCAGGGAGGCTGAGTCCTCGTCCCGGGTTCCGCAGGAGGTGGGCTCCCACCCCCTCCCGCTGCTCAGCGCTCCTCAACTCTCCTCTGCGGCAGCTCCCAGCTCTGCGTCTCATACTTAGGGAAAGGCTTCTCGACGAATCCCCACTCCCACCCGTCCCACAGCGCACAGGACACCGGCAAACGCACTCCCCAGGCAGGGGATGGCCCACCAACCCACGCTCCTGACTCAGGCACACAAGTTAGACTGAAAACCAGCCCGGAGTTTGGTTCAGAGTTCACAGGGAAAGGGGTTCTTCCTGCTGGCATTGCCAACCTGGAGCTCCCAGGTGCCCCTCTTGTCACCATGCAGGGACAATGAAGCTCATGCAGAGAAGCAGATGGCGTCAGAGCAAATCCATATAACAGTGAGTTCCTGGATCCAGCCATGCCTGAAGCTAGAACGCCCGTGGACTTGGCCAGTACAGGAGCCAGTTGACTCTCCTTTGCTTCAGGTAGTTGGAGTTGGGATTCTGGACTAGATGATCCTTAGGGCTAATGTCTCCCAGCAGTGACAGTCAAGCGTCTCAGTCCTGTAGAGGTGCACCAGCACCTCTGGACTGATTTCAGAAGTGGGGCCAGGTCAGCCTCGTCAGAGCACACGGCTGGCGTCAGTGGCACCTGGTCCCCGCTCAGGATCCTGCGGCTTGTGCGCTGGGCTGCAGGCCCCGGTTGGCTGATGCGGCCTTTGGTCACCAGCAGGTGTGTGAAGTCCACTCTCCAGCCTCTGGAGGCGCTTCCCAGATGCCTTGCACCAGGCCTGGGTGGGTCTGCAGCCTCCTCAGAGGCGCATAGAGGAGGCTCGCAGCACTGACTTCTGGGAACCGGGAATCAAACCCAAGGGTGCTTAGCCACGGGGCCACACCTCCAGCCCTTCCTTCTCTCTCTCTCTCTCTCTCTCTCTCTCTCTCTTTGAGACAGGGTCTTACTAAGTTGCTGAGGCTGGCTTTGAATTTGTGATCCTCCTGCCTCAGCCTCCCGAGACTCTGAGATTGAGGCCTGCGCCACCGCACCCCGCTCTGGATCAGTTCTTAAAGGGGCGCCCAGAGGTGGCTGAGCAAGCAGTGGGGGAGAAGGAGCTGGCCCACGGGGCAGATGCCCCTCCTGCTTCCCGTGACGAGGTCTGGCTCGGAGCGGGCCCTCCTCAGCGCTGTGTGGACAACAGCCACAGCAGTGATCAGGGCCGGGGAGACAGTGGGTCCTCGGTAAACACGAGTCCAGCTGAACGGGGGCTCACAGCCTGCCGCGGGCCGGGGGAGCCGGGGGTCCACTCCCCGAGATCCTGCAGCCGAGGGTGGCGGGGTCGGGACCCAAACCTGACCCTACGGAGGCTCAGCCTGACCCGGGCGGCTCCAGGGGGGTGCGGCACAGGCCCCGTGGTCTCCGAAGCACCCGGGCCCAGTGGGCTGCGCGGCTGACCCGTGCCCACCAGGGAGCCCTAGGCCCAACCCTGCCTCTCTACCTCGTCCCGGGGCCTGGGGCCGGCCGCCTCCTCTCTGCCTTCTGGAGTCCTCCTCCCACTGGAGACCCAGCGCCCCGTCTTCCTGGGCCTCAGAGGCCCCTGGGCTTGTGAGCATCCAGGCGGGGTCCGCCATCCAGACAGGACCAGAGCCAAGCGTCACCTACAGACCCCCGCGCCCTGGGCCCCGCCCGAAGGCTCGCAGTCCACGGGAGGCCGAGGTTCCCGTCTGAGAGCCAGGCAGAGCCGCCAGGCCACCGCCCCACCCCGGTCCCGAAGCTCGGAGGGCGGCCAGCTGTATTTCCAGCTGGGCCAGATGCTGGGCATTCCACCCCGCCCCCTCCTCTGCCTGCCTAGGACACCTCCGGCCAGCGCCCAGCCTGGGTCCCCGCTGAGCTGCACATGCAGCCTCAGCCTCAGCCTCATGCTCGGGACCAGGGCCTCGCCAGGCTGCGAGCCCAGGCCACTGGCTGGTCAGAGACGCAGGCTCTCGGGTGGCCACCGGGGTTCAAGCTGGACGCTTCGCCTGCCACAGCCTCCACTTCCTCATCCTTCCGGGGGGCGAAAAGGTCCTGCTCCATGGAATCGCCTCAAGATACTCCTCTCCACAGACGTTTACTAAGCACCTACTATATACCAGCCACCCCGCTAGGGGCAGAGCAGTGACCAAACCAGACAAACCCCTCCCCATGAGCTGAGGGGCCAGCTGGGGGAGCCCAGGGAAGAGCTAACAAGTGAAGACTCTGGGACCAACACTGGGGTCTGTATCCCACTCTCCCACTAACCCGCTGTGTGACCTTGGGTAAGCGAGGGAACCTCTCTGGGCCTCAGTCTTCTCATCTGTAACATGGGGATCAGGGCTGCTTGGAGGGCTGCAAGGGTTAATGACCCTAAGGGGCTTCGAACGCTCGGCAAAGAGCGAGTGGCACATGTGTGCTGAGGTGAAGTCCAAAAGTCACCTCCCAAGGGACCTAGCGCAGGGTGGGGTGATGGCCACGTCAGGTGGAGGGGAGGGCTTCCTCCCCAGATGACCTTTCGTGAAGCCTGGGACCCCCTTAGGGCTGCGACCCCTCCCCTGCCATCCCGAGGCCACTGCACCCACCTCTTGGAACGCGCCCTCCACAGGGTGGCCATGTTGGGGCACGGAGGCCGGAGCTGCTGTGTGGCAGGTGGGCGTCCAGGCGGGCGGGTGGGCAGCTCGGAGCTCCCCCAGCCCCAGGCAGGCGTGTCCCTTGGCCCAGCCCCGCTTGTCCCCCTGGAGGCCTCCCCCCCTCGCTGTGGCCTGGCCGCAGAGCCCTGGCCCTTCCCGGTGGCTCTGAGCCCAGGCTGCTGGACGGAGGCCACTGCGAGGCTGCCTGCCGGGAGGGCAGTGCACGTGTGGCCTCTGATGGCGAAGTCGGCGCATCTGGCCCAGGTGACGGAGCAGCCGGGCGGGGAGTGGCTCAGTAAGTATTAGTCACCCCCAGCCTGCCAGACCGGCTCCCAGGGGGCACGTGCCGCCCAGTGTCCCCAGCGCACGTGAGCCCAGGGCGGCCTCCTGCCGGGTGGCGTCCCAGGCCGGTGCTGCCCCCAGCGAGGGCAGCTCCGCAGCCAGATGGGCCGGTCGGACGGCGCCTGCCCCCGCCCCCGGTGGACGATCGCAGGACCCGCCAGGCTCCAGGTGGGACCACCCGGGACCTGAGCCGACCGTCAGGCGGGTGTCTGGTGACACTGCAGGGTCAGGGCTGAGGACGCACGCACACGGGCCTCGCAGAGAGGCCGCTCTGGGCTCTGAGCTCCCAGTGCACCAACCTGCGACCCCCTGACAGCCGTGGCCCCGGGCCCCCGCTGTCCACTTCCCGCTGCTCTCCTCGGAGACCAGGGCCGCTGCCCCCAGCCAGGCCGACAGGCCCGGTCCCCGGGTTAGAGGGCGTCTGTCGCGGGGCTTTAGCTTGGGGGGCAGTGTACCTGCCCGACAGCCGGGGGAGGGACAGCCCAGCTGCAGAAGGGCAGGAAGGGGGCAAGGGGCAGCCGTGCCTGTCACTCAAGGAAAGTCAGTCCCCGTCTGGTCATCTCTCTGTCTGTCCCTCCCCACACCCCGCCTCGTGCTGGAGAAAGGAAAAGGCCTTACTGTGGCAACCATCCACACCTTAGTATAAGACCCTGCCACCATGTCACTTCCCCCAGTGAATTCTCTAAGGAATAAAACCCCTGACTCTCGTCAAAGGGCTTTCAAGGTTCCAGAGTGGGGGGGGGTAGGAGGTGGGACCCAAGGAGGCATCGGCCCACCCTGAGTGGAGCCCTGCCCTCCAGCCCAGGGTCCGGTGCCTGACCGGCTCCCACGCGGAGGGCCTGGGCGGGGCAGCCGTCGGGTTGCCTGGGAAACAAGCCCAGGCGCCACAGCCGGGACCAGACCCTGGGAGACGGACAGACAGGAAGCCCAGGACAGCCACACTCCCCGTCCTCATGGCCAGCTCCTCATCCTGGGACCAGCGCACGGCACTAGTGGCCACTCAGAGGCCCAGCACCCTCAGGACTCGGAACAGGAGAGCCAGGGAGTGCCACCGGGGCCTGGGGGTCAACAGTCACCAGGGCCACCTTCCTAGACCAGGGCAGAGACTTTGCAGGTCTCCGTCTGATGGCCCATGAGCCTGGGTGTCGGGGTCAGCTCACCTCTGTCCTCTCCCTACCCAGAGGGCAGGGGACCCTGGGCACTTTCTGGCAGAGCTCCTGACTAGGCCTGAGGACATGTCTCCGGGAGCTGGAGGTCAGAGGCCCAAGGCCTAGCGACAGGTGTCCCTGCAGGAGTTGAGGCCCCAGGCGTCCCCTGCAGGAGCAGCTGCAGGCTGTAGGCAGGTGGAGACACGGCCCCCAAACCTCCACAAGGGGACAGCGGGCATCATGTCGGAGTGCAGGGCCCTCGCAGGCTCGGCTACAGCTGAGGCCAGGCCAGCCCCGGGAGGCAGACCCTTCCCCTCCCAGACCACAGGGCCCCTGCATGCCTCAGGGGACCAGTGACCTGCACAGCCCACCTGAGTACAGACCCCGTGGTGGGGGACCTGAAGAAGCCCCAGGAGAGGAGGCTCAGAAATGGCTAAGTCCAGAAGCAGCCTCCATCCCCGGCCAGTTTGTACGCGCACCTACTGTGTGCCTTCCTCACGGTGGCCCTGAGCCCCCATCTCTGAGGCCTGGACTTCAGGTATGATCACTGTGGGTCTTCAGCCGAATTTCCCCTCTCGCAACCTCTGCTTCAGCCCCCAGAGACCATGGCTCAAGTCCTGCGGGGCCTCCTCCTGCCCGCTCTTGTCCCGCTCCTCCCCTCCTCCTGTCCCCCTCCTGCCCCCCTCCTGCCCCCTCCTGCCCTCCTCCTGTCCCACTCCTGCCCCCTTCCTGCCCCCTCCTGTCCCCCTCCTGCCCCCCTCCTGCCCCCTCCTGCCCCCTCCTGCCCCCTCCTGTCCCCCTCCTGCCCCCCTCCTGCCCCCTCCTGCCCCCCTCCTGCCCTCCTCCTGTCCCACTCCTGCCCCCTCCTGTCCCCCTCCTGCCCTCCTCCTGCCCCCTCCTGCCCCCTCCTGCCCCCTCCTGCCCCCTCCTGCCCCCCTCCTGCCCCCTCCTGCCCCCTCCTGCCCCCTCCTGCCCTCCTCCTGTCCCCTCCTGCCCCCCTCCTGCCCTCCTCCTGTCCCCCTCCTGCCCTCCTCCTGCCCTCCTCCTGTCCCCTCCTGCCCCCCTCCTGCCCCCTCCTGCCCTCCTCCTGTCCCACTCCTGCCCTCTTCCTGCCCCCTCCTGCCCCCTCCTGCCCCCTCCTGCCCCCTCCTGTCCCCTCCTGCCCCCCTCCTGCCCCCTCCTGCCCCCTCCTGTCCCACTCCTGCCCCCTCCTGTCCCCTCCTGCCCCCTTCCTGCCCCCTCCTGCCCCCTCCTGCCCCCCTCCTGCCCTCCTCCTGCCCTCCCCCTGCTCCCTCCTGCCCACACCTGCTGTGTGTCCCCTCCGGCTCTCCCAGGCCTGCCCACCCCCGCCTCAGAAGCCCCCCCGCCCTCCCCCACCATGCCAGGTCCCTGGGTGACCCGTGTCCAGGCTGGTCCTGTTGTTGTTGGCTCTGAGCCCAGGCGGGTGGAGCCTGGGTCTGTCCCCAGAGCCCTGGCTGCGGAGGTCGGAGGTGCAGCTCCCCAGGACCCCCAGCTGTCCCCGTCCTCCTCCCGCCCCTGGCGCACCTCAGAGGGGAGCAGGGCAGTGAGGGAGCTGAGGGCCTGGCCGGGGCCTGGCCACTGGGGTACAGCCACTGGAGCCAGGCAGGGCCGAGTGAGGACGGGGCCTGGCCAGGCTCGGGGTCCCCCAGGACATAGCTGCCGGGCCGGCGGATGATGCGGGCACTCCAGGGGAGGGCACGGGCCCGCCAAGGCTGGGGGAGGCCACCGTGGCCAGGACACAGGGCAGGACGGCGGGCGGGCCCCTGCTCCCAGCTGTGGGAGGTGCCGGGCAGCAAGGGGGTGTGGACGGTCCAGGCGGGCGGCACCGGGGACCCGGGACCGGCTGCTGTGGACTCACTGGCCCGCTGCCCAACACACCTGCCCCAGCAGGGGTCCGGGGCCCTCGGGCTGAGAGCTGGCGACGGTTCTCAGGGGTCTGCCCAGTGCCCGGCCTGGGACCCGAGCGGGTCAGCAGCCAGGCTCCAGGAGCTGGGCCACCAGGGGCAGAAACAAGCCTCCTCCCGGGACTCAGTGCAGAGTGTGACAGGGACCGCGGGCGGCAGCCTGCCTGGCCCAGCCCCCACCTGCCACCCCAGGCCTGGCCCTGCAACTCCCCACACACACCTGCTGGGTGTCAGTGTGACAGCCGCTTGCCACACTTGTCACCTCCTCATACCCCTGTGACCACCCCTTAAAGGAGGGATGCTCATGACGCCCATTTTTCAGTTGAGGAAGCCAAGGCTCAGAGAGATGAAGTCACTTGCCTTGGGTCACAGAGCCAGAGTAGGTGGCCCCATTGTCAGGCTACCAAACAGGAAGGGCATTCCTTCCTAACCCCACCCCTAGGAGACTAAGTCCTGAATTTTGCTGTGTGACCTTGGGCTCGTGGACTCACCTCTCTGAGACTATTTTCTGACCTGCCAGGTTGGCCTGGGAAACTCAGACAGACCAACTTCCGGAGCATTTAGGATGATGACTGTTTGGGTCTCAAGAAAATTACAGGTTTCTCCGGCACCGTGTCTCTCTCTCTCTCTCTCTGTCTCTCTCTCTCTCTCACACACACACACACACACACACACACACACACACGCAGGTCGGCCATGAGGACGAGCTGCAGGGACACTGCAGAGGGAGGAGGAGGAGGCCCCCTGGGCACTGGCGGTGCTTACGCGATCCTGCGGCTCTGTGCGCTGCTGAAGCCCGCGAAGGAGGCGCTGCGTCCCACGGCCCCCACGGCCCCCGCGTCCCCGGGGCTCAGGAACCGCACCCTCACTGACATGGCCGTCACCTGCAAGGAGAGGACGGGACAGTCAGCTGCAGGCACTGAGTGCTGGCCGCACAGCAGCCCTAGGGAGGGGCTGGAGAGGAGCTAGTGGAGACTGGGGGCGGCCGGCCTCGAGCCGGGTCTCTGCACTCTGCCCTCGGGTCCCTGCTGCCCACAGCGCTGCCCCTGAGCCAGGATGCGGGCCTCCTAGCCCTGTCCCTCCCGCCTCCGAGGCTAGGGAGCCCCTGCTGGGGTCCATCCGAAAGGAGGCGGGAAAGGAAGGCCAGCAGGGCCAGGGCAGCAGGAATGTCGAGCGCAAGGGGCCGAACGTGAGAGGACGTCTGTCACCCAGAAGCATCAGTGGCCAGGCCCTGTGGGGGGAGGAGACCGCAGAGCACAGGCTGAGACCTGGGAGCCCCAGGGGACTTGCTTGTAACTGAGCAAGGGTAGCTGGGAGCCATGGGAGACTTCTGACAGGTGGTGACAAGCCCCATCCATGGACTGTGCGCACCCAGGGCTGCGTGGTCCTCGCCCCGTCCCCATGCCATGCCCCATCTCTGACCTAGGGCACAGTGAGCCCAGGCCAGAACTCTGTCTTCTATTTTTCTCAAACCGTCTCTAGGTTGACCCCCGTCCCTTGGGGACACAGTCCTTCTAGCTGGTATATTATATTCTGGCACGGGCAGTTGGAAAGTTCTCCTTCCTATCTAACCTAAATCTCTGCTGCTACCATTCCATACTTTGATCCTCAGCCAAGGTGGTGTCAGTTTGAGGATTTCGGGGACCCCGTGGCTCCCACAGCTCCCACGCCGCCATGCCCTCCTTCCTGTGTCCCAGCCCCTCCACCCACTGACTGAGTCCTGCCTCCGTGGTCTGCGCTAGCGGGGCCTCTGCCTGGAGCACCGCAGTGGCCGGTGTCCAGTCTTGTGTTCTGTGTGGTCAGCCCTGCCAGGGCCTCGGGTCCCATCTGCACCCCATGGCACACTGGTACCATGTCCCAGGCCACAGCCCCAGGCACGGCAGGTAGGGGCCTCAGAAACCAAGAATCTGGACGTGGGCTGCAGTCCCACCGGGCCCCTCGCAGGGCCTGGGCCTCCGCGGTCACAGCTGCAAACTGGGAACAGAAAAGTCCTCAGAGGCTGTGGGAGAACCCAGGGCACCGGCACCCAGAGCCCAGCATGCGCAGGGGCCGCCGGGAGCAGCGGGCTCTCTGTGCGGTTGGTGACCCGGCCCCTCCCCGAGCTGAGCCAGGGGAGCCCCTCCAGCCTGCGGCGGAGGGGACCGTGTCCGCACAGCACCCAGCCCGGAGCCAGGGCTGCTGGGAACCTGGCAGAGACCCGCAGCTGAGCGGCTGGGCCCTGGAGGCGCCTTGTACTGAGCACCCTAGTGACTGAGCCCTGTGCCAAATGCCCCCTTTATGCAAATTATCCTATTAAATTGCCACCTCCCCGCCCCCTTTATGCAAATTATCCTATTAAACTGACGCCCTCCTCGCCCCCCCCACAGAAGCCGTCCTTGACCTCATTCAACAGAAGAGGAAACTGAGGCTCCGAGGGGTGACTCAGCCAGCCCCGGGCCCCAGCAGGAAGCGCAGAGCTGGTGCGAGCAGGCAAGCTGACGGTCACCTGGCGCCAGGGGTCCCACACTCTGGGCCTTTCTCTGGCCCAGGAGGACCTTGGCCCCATCTGGGCTTGTACCAGCTCAGAATCGGCTGCCAAACGTTCAGGGATTCTGTGACATCGTGTTGGTGGCTTCCACCGAGCAGGAATATCGAGGCCATGGAAACTGGCCAACACCACGCCTCGGGGCTGTTGCTCGGCTGGTCATTACCTTACAGGCCACTGTGGCCCTGCCCACCGCTGCCCAGGATGACCCCAGGCTGGGCAAGGCAGTGGGGAGGGACCGCGGACCGCCAGGTCATCCTCAGGCCTCCCCATCAACCCCACTGAAGTCCCCTCCACAGGGGGTTCCTAAAAGCAAATGCCAGGTGCTCCTGCTCAGGTTAGAGGGGGATGGCAGCAGAGCTGGGCCCCCGTGGACCAACATGAGGTGCAAGGGTCTGAGCTGCCACCCCAGCACCATGAGGCCGCGTGACCCTGTTTTCCATAAGAGGGGACAGAGGCTCCAGGGCGGGGACCTCCTGGGGACCTGCCCTTTCTACAAGGCTGGCTCTTCACTCTGAGCTCCCTGCCAAGCGGGGCTGGCTCCCTGGACACTGCCCCGTCTCCCCCAGGACGCCCTCCTGGACACCTCTCGGCTCTCCACAGTTTCAGAGGCCCCTCGGCCTCCCGCAGCCCCCAGGTCCCCTGTCACTGTCCTTGTGAGTCGCTGTGGCTCCCGCTAGATGGGGCACCAGCTCCGGCCTGAACAGTGGGTCCTGAGCCACCCCACCCCAAAGAGTCCCAGCAAGTCTTTATGGAACCAGAGAATGAGGACTCAAAGCCCGAGGTCACTTCCCCTGGTCACGGCCCGGCAGCCCGAGGGGCGGCCCTAGTAATTATCACTGGTGCCAGACCCTGGCAGGGGCCCAGGGTCCTGGGAAGGACCAGATAGTGACGGTCCAGGCTTGGCAGCCATGCTCGGCTGCACAGTGTCCCAGCTGATGGGTGTCCCAGCTGCTCGGCTCTGCCGTTCCAGAGTGCGATGGAGTCGGGGTGACAAAGCCTTCTTCGGGACAGCGGCCGCGTGGCTGTGGGGCCCCCCTGATGCTGTCCTCTGAGCCGGTGCCCTACGGGCGCTACCCCGGGGGCTTCAATCAATCTGCCTCCTTCAGCCTCCCGGGCCAGTGAGGCAGCTGCTGCTGTCCCCGCCCTGCAGACCAAGAAACTGGGGCTGCCCGGGAGGACAGCTCCTGGGCTGTCCCCAGGCAGGAGATGCCAGGGCCGGGCTGGGAGCTGGCCTTCGAGGCCAGGGTGGCTGCTGCCCAGCCGAGCTGCATAACCCCCGGGGCTGAGGGTCCTGCAGGGGCCCCAGGGCAGAAGCCGGCGAGTGAGGGGACCTGCCAAACTGGGACGGCGGCGCTCCACGGTGGCTGGAAACGCCACGCCCACCCTGCAGGTGAGGGCGCCCAGGTCCCCGGCACCCCGGGGCCAGCGCCCGCTGAGCTGCTCCGTGGGGCCGGCAGCGCCCCCTCCTGGCCGGCCGCAGTCCTACCAGCTGGAGAAACAGGACCGGGACAGGATGGCTGGGCTGAGGTCACCTGTGCCCGAGGGGCACAGCAGGGCAGGGGCCTCCCCCACGCCAACCTCACCTGCTGCGGCCGCCTTTGCCTGCTGGCTGCTGGGTTGTGGCAGGTCTAGGGAGTCCTGGGAGGGACACTCAGGTGGCTCGAGCAGCCGGCGGTCTGCAGGGCACGAGGGACAAGCCCGCTGGGTCCTGTGCAGAGGAGGGAGGCCTCGTGGCCACGCAGTTCCCAAACCTTTGGTGGAGACAGGACGGCTCTTCCGCCCTCTGTCCTTCTCGCCTCCCTCCGGCCCGGCACCGGGCAGCCCGCGCTCGGGTGGACGTCTCTGGGAAGGTAGGCCAGCTGCAGGGCGTCTCACTGGGCAGCTGCTCCCCGGGCCCTGGGACCGTCCCGGGCCTCTGCCCCAAGGTGTGGCAGCAGGAAGCAGGACCCACTTCCACTGAATCTGAGCCGCTCAGTGCTGACCGCGGCCCGTCCCCGCCGCCCAGCCCACAGGCAACCTGCAATTTCACCTCCCTGAGAGGTGACGCTTCTAAATTTAGCGCCGTGGGCCCCGGGGCTGGGTGGCTCCTGTGCCCGAGTCCTCTCTTAGGCTCTTTTTCCTCCTCTCGAATGCCAGCCAGGCCTGGTTTGCTCAGAGGAGTTTCCAAAATAGCCCCTTTGGTGGAGCAATGAAAGGAAATGGCAGAGCAGCCCGGACGGGGGTGCGACTGCGTACGGGAGGGACGGCGGCCCTCACTGGCCGCCCTGGACCTGGCTGTCTGCACCAGAGCAGGCAGGGAGCCTGCCGTCCAACCCCCACCTGGCCCGGGCAGGACCAGGCCACGCGCATGGCCAGCCTGGGTCCCCAGAGGAAGAGCCGAGAGAACCTAGACGGTTCCTCCCCCGCGGGGCCAGCGCCTGTGCCCACCAGAGCCCTCTCCCCCCGGCACCCCCAGGCCCTTGCACTCTGCCACACTGGCCCTAGAATGACCTCCCTGTGGGCCCAGAGTGAAAGTGGCCTCGCCCCTCACCCTGTCCCCGTCCTGCTTCCGTCTGGGGGTGCCTGTGTCCCTCGCAGGGATCTCAGCTGTGCAGCTGGGACTCCGCCTGTCCTGTGCAGGGCTTGGGGCAGGACCCCCTCAGCGTGCACCTACGGACTACCTGCTGGATGCAGCCTGGGTGTACAGCTGTGGACGGGTCCCGGGGAAGACGGCTGGCGGGTGGCAGTGAGCACCCGGGTGAGCTTGTGCCCTAGTGGGGACATGCAGAGGCCCAAGGGGGCAAAGACAAGTGCTTCGGTCAGCTTCCTTACCGCGGTGACTAAATGACCCCACCAAGCCCACTGCAGGGAGGAAGGGTTCAATTAGGGGCTCAGGATTAGAGGTCTCAGTCCACAGAAGGCCGGCCCATGCCTGGGGGCCGAGGTGAGGCAGGACGTCATGGGGGGGGAGTGAGGCCGATCAGAAGCGGAGACGCCACTCGTCAGGTGCCCCCAACTCCCTCCTCCTCCAGCCACACCCCTCCCTCCAGTGACCAGGCAGCTAATGCCATCAGGGACTAACCACTGATGGGGTTGAGACTCTCACAGTCCGGTGACTTATCCTCCAAATCTTGCACTGGGTCACTGTGAGCTTCAGGGGGACAACTCACATCTAAACCATGACAACAAGATGCCTCGCTCAGCCCGGGTAAGAACGGGAATAGTGGACGCCGGGGAAGGGACATCTCCGTCTGCCAAATGAGGAGCGTGTCTTGGTACAGAGGGAGGAGGGTGGCAGAGTGTGTGGGTGAGGAACAGGGTGTGCGAAGGCTCGGGTGGAGAGGGGCCATGGGCAGGCACCGCCAGCGCCCCGTCTGTCTGCGGGAGCACGGCTCAGCAGGGGGCCTGGGGAACAGCACCTGGACCCGGGCAGGACAGGCCTCCCACACCCTCTGGCTTTGGTGACAGCGCCCTTTGAGCCCTTCTGCCTGCTCAGCAAACCCTGCACCCCCCTGGCCCAGGTAGGTCTTGATGAGCCATGACCGGTACCGACTGCTGTGGGCCCTGCTCACTGACCTTGCCGCAGGCCAGGGGCACTGCCCTGGGGCCACTGCCTCTGGCCAAGTGGTGTCTGTGCTGCCGGCAGGCGAAGTCATTAAGGACGCTGGGACGCCCATGTCCCCGCTGGTTTGAGGGGGTGCTTGCCCTCGGCTCCTGACCTGCCAGCCCACTCTGCTAGCAGCGTCTACCCACAAGGCCGTCATCGGGTGTCACCTCCCACCCACCCTGGCCAGGACCCACCGTGGGCAAGTCCTGCAGGGATGTGGGGCCAGCCACCTCCCGGCATGAGGGGAACCAGAGGGGAGCCTGCCCCCCATAGCCAGGTTCATGCCCCCAGGGAGGAGTGATGGCAATCGGGGACTCTTCCGGCTCCGTGTGGCCTTGGACAAGTGCCCTCCCCCTGGGCCTCTGCTTCCTGCCTGAAAATGGTGGGTCAGCCTGGAGCTCAGGGGTCCCCCGGGCAGGACACTCAATCCCAGGGAGGGGTGGTCCTCAGACACCATGGGGACGCTGCAGGGGAGCCCAGCTACTGCGTCCGTCGTCCCCTCCCTCCCCTCCTCCCTCCCTGGCGCTGGGGTCTGCCCCAGCACAACCCCCAGGGCAGAGCGGGCTGCGGCAGGCAGAAGGGGCCCTGAGTTTGATGAGGTGGTTTGTTTTGGGGGTGTTTTCAGGGTGACCTTCACTTAGACTGTCTGCGTGACACCCCGTGGTCCCTCGGTAGTAGAGGACCTCAGGAAAAGCCAAGCAGGGAACCGGTCCTGGTGGAGCCCTGTCCTGGCCCACTCCTGGCCCCCTGCTGGACTGCCCTCCGGAGCCACCTGACAGTATGGCTGCAGCCAGGAGGGGACCCAGGGGGCTCTGCAGGCAGCCGCAGAGCTTGTGGGCGGGCGGCCCTGGCTTCAGGCTAAGGAATGAGCGGCTCCCTGGGGAGCCCCGGCTCCCAGGTCCACTGTGCCAGCACTGCAGGTGATGGCACCTCCTGACTGTCAGCAAGGGAGGAGGTGGGGCCACTTCACAGCCCCGCCCCTTCCTGTCCAGGAGGCCCTGGGAGGAGTACACTCCCTGCCCGACCCCATGCCTGACCTTCCACCCTCAAGGCCTGTGGGCTCATCAAGGGGCAGTCATGTGAGTGGACAGCAGGTCCTCACCCTGGGTGTCCGAGTCCCTACACCCACTTCACAGACAAGAACACTGGGACCACCACAAACGGTGAAGGGCAAGGTCAAGGTTAAATAACCATAGCCCAGCCCTAAAGTGGAATTTTTGTCACTCTCAGGAAGACAACCTCAAGGACTCCTTGGAACTGTAGGAACTGTTCAAACTAAGATGTGGAGCTGAGTGGCAAGATGTGCGCCCGCGTGGTGGCACACCTGTGACCCCAGTGACTCCGGAGGCTGAGGCAGGAGGATCGTGAGCTCAAGGCCAGTCTCGGCAACTTAGTGAGGCCCTACGTAACTCAGTGAGACTCTCAAAATAAAAATTAAAAAGGGCTGGGGCTGGGGCTCCGTGGCTAAGCACCGTGAGTTCAATCCCCAGGATCAAAAACAGCAAGATACGAACCGTACATGAAGTGACCTCCGTTTTATTTTTGAGACAGACAATGCCTTGCGAATGTCCCACAGTGGACACATGCCCTCGGAATTAGAAAAGAATTGTTAATGAAGAAAGCAGCGAGGTTGATTAAGTCGTCTGCAGTGGCACAGTGAGTCCCCGGGTGGACTTGGGTGACCTCTAACTACAGGACGTTTCCTCTTTAAAAAAATAAGCCTCCGAATACCATCTCCATCCAGCTAAGGCCACCAGGGCCCTGTGAGGTAAAATGACACCTGGCTTCCTGTGACACACCAGAGGCGTCTTATTGTGAGGCCCCACCACTGACCATCACGGGGGCTGGCCAGAGGTCACCTGGGAGGCCAGCAACACTCCGGGCAGAGTGTGTGGGGCAGCTGGGGGCTGAGGGAGGGCCTGGCAGGGACCTGGGAGAAGGGGCCTCTGGGGACTCCCGAGCCCTGCGCTGGTCTATGGTCGCCGGAGGGACTGAGGTCAAGTGGGAGCCGGGGGCAGGGGATCTTCCCAACACTGTCCTCAGGGGAGCGAGGGGCGGGTGGCTTGAGACTGCCCCTGGTTGATGGCCATGAAGGACTCAGGGACAGAGCGAGTGACAAGCCCCCCTAGGCCTGCTGAGCGCAGCTGGGCCTGGCCTCCGGGCGCTCGGCACGTCCCCCTCCTTCTCTGTCCTGGCCTGACGGAGCCCTGTGCTCCCTCCCCACCACTCGGGGGAAACCCGAGGCTCGGGGACAGCAGGTGACATGCACTACAAGTGGTGGCACCGCACCTTCAAGAACCCGCCTTCTGGCTTGCACACGCAGCGTGGCCCAGGTGGCACCAAGGCCGGCGGTCCTTGCTGTGAGCGTCCTATGTATCCGCAGCGCCCCCCACTGCCATGAACAGTGCGGCCTCTAGACCCTGCCACGCGTCCCCTGGCGGAGCCCACAGCAAGGACGCCCTCCTGAGGGCAGTTCCCAGGCGTGGGCAGCACCCTTGACCAGCCGGGTGGTGGCCAGAGTGGCAGCCGCATGTTCTGTGTCTGGTTGGTCACAACGGGGTCCACACAGGTCCCCTCACAGGAATGGGTTGTGGCCTCTGGCAGGTCCAGCAGCCCCCCACCTCCAGAAAGGGCTCATCAGCCCGCGTGTCCCCAGCTGCACCCCCCATACACACCCCAGTGCACAAGGACCCACAAAAATGTCTGAATTGGTTTTGAAATTGGAAGACAGACATGGACCTCAGGACACAGAAACCCTTCAGTCCGCGACTGTGACCTCTTCGCCTGTGAGCCAGCAGCCCCAGAGACCCCACCTGACCCCTCGTGGAGGAGGGTCCGCTAGCAGGGTGGCCCGCAGTCCCCCGGGGCTCCCCTGCAGCACCCTCGAGTCCACCCTCCTCCCTCCCCAGCAGCTCTTCCCGCTGCCCCGTCCAGCCCTTCCGCCCCTGGTCTCAGCTGCCATCTGGTCTCAGACCACACCTGACCGTCATGATCACACTTGACCTGCAGGCGCTGGCTCAGTCCGCTGGCTTTGGCCGTGACCTGGGCTGAGCACCCCCTACCCAGCTCCCCAGCCCACAAGGACTGGCCACCCGCTCGCTGGCTGACCTGCCGGAGCCCAT